TGTAAATATGTATCTCTTGTCTATATCCCATTTTTAACAGTGTGTCTGAAATATTATTTGTAAAAAGCACCTCTTTTCCCAGGAGCCAGTGAATAACGGGGCTCAGGATTCAGTGAGTTAAGAACAAAAATGCTTCAAGATTCGTCTCCACACACGAACATGATATAAAGATGAAACTCATACAACTTAAATGCACAAATGCATTATTTAGGACATGGCATAACACATAGATGTAACTTGCCTGAAAGCATATATCTGGCAAGAAAAAACAATTTCTGCTGAAGCGTGTAAATAAATAGATATCTGCATGTACATTTAGAATCATTTAGCATCAAAGACTACACCAGTTTAAACGACAAGACGTAATACTTCACCTCAACAGAAACAAAACAAAAACAGAGAAAAGATCAGTTCTCACAAAGTCTGTACTTCATTAGCTCAGACGGATTGTTTAAGTATTTCCTAATGACAAACACCCTCGTGACAGGTGTAGACATAAAAACATACTGTAAACTTACATAATTATTTCCTCACAAACTAAGAAAGTATGAACATCTTTTTGAGTAAGCTTTAGCGGTTATACCCGTCTGCCATGTGGAACACCTTTTTCTCAAATTTTTTTTTACAGAACTTGTCTTCTTAAAATATACATACTAAGAGGCAAACCAAATACTAATTCTACTTACAGTGTAATTGTTAGAATAATTTATTCAGCTGTCATTCTGAGCGCTGCATTAATCACGTTGAAATCACACACAATACAACTGAAACCGATAGTTTGATTTTCCATTTGACAAATAATACAGTAATAAGGATGACAGAACACATCTATAATTTCAAGCAACCAAACAATAACTTTTCTACATCCGTTCCGTCTAAAGACTTGAGACTTCAAGGCTGACCATGCAGCCGAATCCACATTCACAATCCTATGGGTTTTGTTTCACATCAAAAGCAAATATTCCTAAAGTTCAGGGTACAAATGAAGTCTATGTGACTTCATAATTTGAACTGAATGTGTATTAGCAAAAGGAAAGTAGAAACAAGGCTAAAAATTATAATGGGTGCATGACTAGATTACATATGACATAAATTAAAACAACATAAATGATCTCAATACACCAAATTAGAAGTGAAATGTCGCAGCTGATTAGAACACTTTTGAATATCTTTTTTTCTTATAAGATTGGTCCTTCCTATGTAACATAAATCCAAGAGACAGAAGCTTTGAGGCACTTGAAGCAGCTGTGAGAAATAATTTGCATAATTTGCGGGCACTCAAACTCAAAGCTGTCTGCAAATGGGGAAATGTAAAAGAGCAGTCAATGCCATTCTCAAATCTGTCAGAGAAAAAAGGCCAAATAAAGAAATAATCTGTAAAAGAAAAATCTGTTGGCTATATCTTTTCCAAGAAAACTTTTAAAAATTCGACTTAAGTAGATATATCATTTTGACATATAGGACTTAACAACTTATGCTAATGTATTTGCTTTCACAAGATCAAAGGAGCATTATCTGTGCTCTAGTTACTTGAAGCAAAGAGTCTACATAACAAGAGGGGCCACTTCTCTCTTTGAGCCAATTAAAAAAGTGTCCTCAAAATTCGGTGGCGCCCTCTTCGTAAAAGCGCACCTTTAGCAAACAGAGTAATCCTGCTTGAGTTATAAAAAATCAAAGTGAAACTAGCAAGTTTTTGAATGAATTTCGGAAGAACGCTTTTTTAAAATGGTTACGCCGACAAAAAAACCTCTTCCGGAGGAGAGGGTGATTGTTTTCTTCGAGTATTTTGACTTTAGAATGAAAGGCGAGAGGTCATTAAAATTTTTAAAAACTAATACTCCGTACTGAACGAACCCGAACTACTGATGAACAGCAGTCGATCTGCGCACGCAAGGAGGTGCTATTCCTATTCTTCTTCTGGAAAAACGAAAGAGAGCTTCAAAACAGACTGCAGCGCCATCTGAAGCAAAGAGCATACTTCCTGCGGACACTTTTTTGGCTGAGTGGCCCATCTTGTTATTTACTATCTTTGCTTGAAGTAAGCACAGAGCAACATAGTCAAAAGAGAAAGGGTGGAACAAATTTGAAAACAGCTTTTTTTTTCTCCAGATTGACAGTTGTATAACGCAATAAAAATGCAAGTTGGTAGATAGATGAAAAGTATCCAAGAGCAATACTCTCCAACCAACCCTTGGGGAAGAGATACTTTAAGAACCAAAAAATAATTAATTGGACAAAAGATAAGCATGAGTTAGAAATAATGTTTCAAAGGTTGGAGGGAGTATGCTCATACTTCTAAAGAGTCTGCAAGAAGGAGTGTGCACAAGTAACAATTTGAACAATTAAGTCAGTCTCATCTCATGGCACAGACACGCCAGATCATGAAATCTGGTGTGTAAGTTTCCTTAGGAACTGAAACTGTAACTCAACTTTACTAGAACAATCAGAAGATCAAATAGGTTTCAAAATCATGTATTGGCCGTTACATTCAATAACGAAATGGAATCATATTATTGGCTACATAGAATATATATGGAAAGGAACTGAACAAACAGTGAAAAGGAGGACTTAAACTTAAACATAGGACTTGAAAGAGAGATGACAGTGATGGTTCCTACGCTGGAGTGAAGTTCTTTAGCTATAGTAAGAAGATGATATTTCAATTTAATTCCAAAGGTGCACTGTGCAACCAGAGGCCATGCTTTGACACTAAATTCAATTCCTGCATTCATCAACTTAACACTGCACTGTGACCAAATTCACTACAACTGTTCATGAGTGAAAGAAACGTGAATTAATAAACTGATCTTAAGGAAAAAGGAACACAAACTTTCGCTCCAGCATTTTCTAGCAAATGAACGGACAAATATAGCGCTGTAAAAGTCATCATTCCATATTTCGATCAGAGCCATTACATTTTACACTCCCCTTTCCTCAAGTTGAAGTAAAATTCAAAATGAGTAAATAGAGTTTCTACACTAGACTATGAGTTTGTGAACCGTCAGAAAAAGAGCCCACTATGTCTCATTAACCACTCTGTGCATGCAAAAATACAAGTTGAGCCAAAAGGACAGTTCGAGGAGTGACAACAGTGATGGAATTTACCAGAAACATGGGCACTCAGAATCATGACAAAGCTTTTGAGATGATACAATGAGAATTCACAGCTGTAGCACAGGAATGATAGCAAAGATTAACTATTTACAAACACAAAGTATCATGCATATTGCCCTATTTCCAGACACTTTCTGAAACATCAGACAAATCTACCATTTATATTGTACAGGTTGCAGTGGCCAAGCATGTCTTGCTTGATAAAGAAAGACACAGTCAATATCTCGGTACTTATTTGAGGCGGTGGTGGGAGAGTTGGTGAAAAGGTTTACATTCTGTACTGGTTATATGATGAGAAACTGGATAGAGGAGAGTTGAGGAAGAATAATGAAAAAGAACAATCCTCTTTCTTCCACAAAGATTTATTTAACAAAATAATGCAGAGGTCACAAGTCCCAAAAGGTCAAAAGTACAGTCCCGTATCAAACCCCAAGTAAAAAAAAAAAGTACAGATGTCAACATCTTTTATGTGACTTCTACCCTAACTGCTAACTGCTAACAATCAAGTATCCCATTCAAGCTCGGATAAGATAAAAGCTTTTTGAACTTTACTAGTTTTGGGGTACATTCATCTCAGCTCAGCTGATGTAAAGCACTCAGAGCTTATACTAGTATGGGATAGAGCGCTATATAAAAACAATCTATTATAATTATCTCATTTTACTTACAGTACGGAAGTGCCTGAAAACGGTCTCTAGACACTAACAATACTAAAAAAGAAAAAAGCAAACTATCAGAAAGCAAGCCCATGGCAAGCTACTCAACTATTAGGCCTTACCGCACTATTGATAGAAAAGTTGCAGGTAAAGTATGAACCATTAATCACACTAGGGTCACTTACAATACTGAATACAAAATAGAAGGAATGTATTACACCAAAACACCTAGATAGCCACCAACAGACCTGCCCTAAAATCCCTTTTGATATTAGTCTTGTTAATGCACATGAGACAGACAAATGTGAACACCTTGACACTTTCATACCCCTATAAAACACATTTCATCTGTACATACGCTGAGAGTAATATTCTGCCAATCATATTTACATTTTTGGGGACATTTTCTATCATTATGAGCAAAAATATGTAATTTTTCTGAAACTGAAACCATGTTTACATCATCTCAGAAGTGCATTGGCAAATAATTAGTAAGAAAATGACTTCAATCCGACAAACTCCAGGACATGAAGCTTCAATTCAGATGATGAAGGCAATAACAATATAACTCATTTCATCTTTACTCATGCTAGTCCATACAGCTATATAATTGTGAGGCAGCGTGGTGGAATCAGGCTCTCGTCAAAATAATCAAAGAGAAAAAACTTGCATTTTTCCGCAGGTTTGTGAATTTTTATCAAATTTTCGTTTTTTGGCTCAACACCTTTCTCGCCCATTAAAGAACTCATTTCTGTGTGGATTTTTCTGAAAACTGTTGATTAAAGGCACAAAAAATGTAAATTTTCAGTTATCGCGAACTCTTAAGCTAAGGAAATAACTACTCTTTGGCGGCCACTTTCTCACTAATTTTACCTCTGAAAACATGTGACCCCCACCTCCTTCTTTCGCAAACATCTCGATTTGTATTCAAGATATATGGATATTTTTTCACCAAAATAAAGACAAGTAAACAAGCTTTAAGATGACACCAATAACTCTACATGCCCAAAAATTGACAAGAGCCTGATTCCACCACGCTGCCTCACATATACTCTTTGCAAGATAAAAAAACCCCCACATAAATCAAAAGGTCAATAGGTCCTAAGGCATACCACATGGAAAATAAAATTAACTCTGAAAAGTGTGAAACTTGTAACTATGTTTTTCAATTAGCTTTTCCCTGCTAAGAACAAAGTATTTCCACAGATTAAAGCTCTAGCAACTATTTTCCCTTACATTATTACATACATTAAAGAAATACACAGCAGGAAAGAGAGACAGTGAACCTTGCCCTTTTCAGCCCTTTGGAAATTTTGGCTCTTGTCAATTGTAACTTCATAAAATACATGTTCCAAACAAAACTTATCAGAAAAAAGGCTGGAAGGGAAAAAATTTACATGACTGACAGGTAACAGATCTATAAAGTAAGAGCTAATTAACATAAAGTAGACAAATGATATCCTCATCCTACTTTAGGGATCCCAAGTCTCAAGGATGTACAGAAATAAATCTTCCAAGCATCCATGAACTGACTGTATTTGTTCCTGAAATTTTAGGAGTCATCTTTCATCTATCGTGAACACACACACACTAAAAAAAATACTGTAGGCAAAAAATATAACTGTGCCAATATATATAAAATGTTTCTCTTACCGTTCAAATCACAGAACAGCCATTTTGTTCTGATTACAGAGTCAGAACATCTAACATATGACAAAACCACAAAGAATATGAACGAAACACTCCCCCCAACAATTTCCAAGTAACCCATAATTTGCTTCAGTACATGGAAAGTGGGCACTGAGGATCAATAAAATATGAGATAATAAACTTCCTCACAGTGAAAGTCCCTCCCTCCCCACATGCACACACAAAATAAAACGGTAATATTTGGTTATCCATCCTCATTTTCTGGAACTGTTGAATAGACACATAAAGAAATAATGAACACCTTTAGAAGTTCATCATCATTAGCATTCCAAGCTGAACCATCACATGAGCTTGATAATTGACTTATTTTTCAGAAAAATTCATATGAACATTGCAGAGTTGGAGTTTATGGAGGGTCGACATGAAAATAGCCACTATTTCAATACAACAAAAATAGAAGTCTCGATCCCTAATCCTTATCACCAACAGTGGAAGAAAAACCTCAAAAGAAAGGCCACTCCCATCTTCCATCCATCACCAGCCTTTCCTCCACTTTTCTTAAGTAATCTGTTTGGGTCAAAATGAGTAACCCCTACTTATGAACACACGTGGACTAATGGTTGGATGATGTCTCTGGACGCTTGCGACGACAGACTCGCTTGTGTTCTTTGTGCCAGTGAACCTGTTGGCATTTGGTGCTGCAGTATGACGTGTTCCAGCAGCAGTGGTAGATGGCCTCTTTCTCACAAGACTGGCACTGCAAGCGCAATCACACAGACACAAAGGGTTTAAAAAAAGACTGATTGACCATTACTAGTACCTATACTATAATTAAAAACTTCAGGAACTTGGAAGACCAGAGATGCCAACCACAGAAAACTGAAATGAGTACTGGGAAATATGAAAATGTGTATTTTCAGGGGGAAATGTGTATTCCCCACGAACGACCGAACGACTAGTAAAATGTTCAGGGTGTCCAGCAATATTTCCTGAAAAAACTTTAAAAAACCCACCCATCACCTCGAAAAAGGGAGCACACACGCGTAGACTACAATTTATACATGTATCCAGTCAACAACATGTCAGTGTTCAGTGTCGTACTGGGGTCTTGTTTGACTTAAGTATTTCAGTCTATTTACTATTATAATATTTCCCCCTCATTATTATATATAAAAAATTAATCCTGCTTTGACCGTTCGGAAGAGCCTAGAACAAGAATTTCGACTATCAAGAACCAGTCTGGGTATCATGATTCATATTAATATTATGAACTGACAGACTAAAATTATTGCTCAAACTAAAAGAAGAGCAATAACTTGAATGGCTAAAGTAGACCCGTGTACTGTGAGAGTTGTGTAACAACTGTGAGAGGGCAAGATGCAGTGACACTGAAAATCTGCCAGTCTTGAACCGAAAGCTACAACATACACTGTAGGTATAATTTACTATCACCCATCCAATGAAACGCGAACACTTTATTTCAATAACACAGACTTGCAAAGAAGTAATGGTCCCGATTCCGCACACGGCCTGCACCAAAGCGCGCTTTGCAGAAAGCTCTAATCAAAATTCTGAAATTTGCTTCCAAGTTTTTGTCCTCTGGTATTGCCTTCGCCCCCCCCCCCCCCCCCGAGTGTATCATAAAAAAAATCAATATATAATCTCCTCCCCTATTCCGTAGTCCTATACTTCGCAACGCAGTTACTCTCACTAAAGACAGTCTTTGCTCACACAATGTCGCATTTATTTATGATGCGAATGCGCGCAGGTTCTTTGACCAGTCATGATGACGAGCCAGACAATCTAAAAATCAGACGACGCTTGTATTTTCTTTTCTTTCTTTCCCACACGTGACAGCACAGAGACGAGTCCGAGTGTTGATTAAATTTCACTTGCACAGCAACACAGCGTTTACACTGCACAACCTGCATGTCACAATTGTTGCATTATCAGACTACCGCAGGCAAACTTCTCGGTGGTAATGAAAGTGAAAGTAGGTCTTCATTTTTCAGATCGAGCATTGGTGTCACATACACTTCCGCCTGCCGCCATAGCTGCCTGTTCGCGTGAAACGTACTCTTGGACGGGGAAAAGGTGAACGAATATAATATCACAATCGCGACCGGCAAAAATGAAGTTACTGACCTTATCGGACTTGGTTTTCAAATACATGTATTCCAGTTCCGCGATACTGAAACTATTTTGGCAAAAGATGGGACTTGGACTTCAGACAATTAGGTTTACTTGCCCAAGCTGAATCTTTTATTTATTTTTCGCATTGCAGGATGCGTATTTTTTCATGAAAAGTCGTATTCGCGTATTTTCGGAAAAAAATGGTACTAAAATACGTAAAATCGTACTGGTTGGCATCTCTGGAAGACCATAAGCAAGGAAAAAATTGGCAGTTGACATCATATACAAAAAGGAGGAACATGATATGACAGCACAAGAAACATATAATCTGGAAGATTTCATTTTCTAAACTTTCACATGTTTGAGTTACAGATAAGCACTGAAAACTGATTATGGTCACTTAGAGAGTAAGGAAAGAAGAAAGACAGAGAAACAGGAATAAAAGAAAACGAGTAATGTCCACCTGTGTTGTCCTCACAGCACCAAAATAGCAGAGAATTTTCAGGAAGGGACAAGCCTAGCCTACATATCACTGAATAAAGAACCACTCATTTAATAGCTTTCACAAAAGTATTAAGTTTGTTACAACAAACAGCATCTTCACTACAAGAATACTATCGTATCTGTGTAAGTTGGCCTTCATACAGAATGCAACACTATACACATCATTCCCACTAGAAATTAGTGGTTTTAAACATTCTATATGACATAAACAAGCTTGGGCGGCAATAGAATTTCATGAAGTACTGAACTAGTTCTTGCTGATAGTAATCACATTTCTGCATTCCGCAAGAAAAAAAAAGCATACAAAGAAGTGAAAAACATATCTAATAATTTTGTTTGGGAGTTCTGTAAAATTTTAATGTGTAAAGCAAGGAAAGACACCCCCCCCCCCCCCCACACACACACACACACATACAAGAGCATCCGGTAGAAAAACTCACAGTTAGAGAAAAACAGGAACAGAATAAGCGCGGCAATGCTGTACAGTTTAATTACTTACCCATTGCTGCTTCTTGGCTTGAGAAATGGCTTCCTTGTGTTTAGCAGCCAGTTTCTTCATCTCCTCCATATATTGCTCTCTGGTGTTTTCCTCTCCTTGCTTTCGAGCTTTTTCCACCTCCAGCTTCATAGAGGCAATTGTCCTCTCCACAGCCTGTTGCTTGTCCTTTCCAAAGTCCTCCTCTAACTAGAGACACCAGACACAAAAAGTAGGGTTCACAATTTTTAAAATACAACCATAGACCATAGTTAAATCAAATATGTTCTACTTCTTTCACCATCCTCATTTTTTCCCCTTCAATAAGAAAGATCAGATAAGAAAAGATAAGATAAGATAGATAATACTTTATTATCCCAGACGATAATTTTTCTTGGCTGTACAGGGCCGTAAAAATACATGCAGGTATAAATAAAAAAAATTAAATTATATATTACTCTCATTAAAATTCAATATGAAAAGAGAAGTAAAGCTGGCAAAATGTACATATCACATCAGATGCATCATTCATCCACATGCAGGAATTGCAAGACCTTTGGAGTTATATAGATACATACTCTAAAGAGCAAAATACATCTATGCTTATTCTGACAATAGCCTATGCTAGATGGTAAAAAACTTCTTTTATACCTTTCTTTCTTTGTTTTTAGAGGTACATATCTGCCGCTGCGTGATCTGACAATTTGCGTGGAGAGGGGGTGTGATGGGTCGTTCAAAATGCTTATTATCTTTTTTATACTTGTGGTGTTATACAGTTCATCAATTCTAGTAAAATCATATCCAGAGATCTTGCTGGCTTTCTTAATGGTTTTGTCAAATTTTTCTTTATCTTTCAGCCTACAATTCCCAGCTCAGCAGCAAATACAAAATAATAGTATGCTGGTCATAAGGATTTTATCAAGACCAAAAATTTGAAAATTATTGACACAACAAAGGCGTCTGACTCATGAAATCTTCTGGTTCTTGCCTTCTTCTCTAAATTTATAAATCAGACCCAAAAGAAAACTTCATCACAAATTGTTAACACACAAAAATTGGTGTTTTCAAACAAGTCTTTTTAGTCTTCAGCATTGAACCTTCTGTGATAGAACATTTCACCCAAAGAATATGTCAGCTTTAGCATATAAAGCACTACTGCATCAAGACAAACCTCTGTACAGTCGAACTAGCTCTAACGGCATGCTGTCCAAAACAATCACCTGCACATATTCCATTTTTCATTCCCCCTTTTATTTTTCATTTTTTAAATATGTCCAAGACATCACAATAGACAATGGATAATTTTGACTGTAGAAAGGCCTATTGGTTAAATAAAGTGCATCTTATCTGTCTTATGGGGGCTCATATGGTCTAGATGTACAATGTTCGTCTCTCATTCAATAGGACCCTGGTGTGAAACCTGACAGCGAACTGAAAATGTTTTCCTTTCATCTCATTTCCTGTTCTCTAAAAATTTTCTGTCATCTCACCCCCCCATCCTGTTACTCTATGTGTCCAAAAATTGGCAAGAGCTGATTCCACCACATTGTGACACATGCATAAATTCACTTTGACATCTTTACAAAACCAAAACTGGGATATATTACCTCATAGGTAACAGGTACTAAGCATGGTGAGGCAGGCAGAAAAATTTCTCAGAGCAGCTGAGAAGCTTCAGTAGATAGAAAATGGTTAGTCCTACACAAAGAGATCCCCCCCCCCCCCCCCATATCATTAGAAAGGAATGTTTCTGAAGCAAGTGAGCACTACAATATCTTCATCTCAATAATTTACTACAACACCACCCCCCCAACCACCACCACCACACACACAAAAATACTCTTCCGTACCCTCTGAGAGAGTTCTTTAAGAGCATCCTTTTTGTCCTCCTCAAACTTCTCTTCCAGCCTCCGTGTGAGCTGAGCCATGGCCTCTGCCATCCTCTCCTCCATGGCCGAGGAGTCTGCTGCTTCACTCTGCTGTCCACTAGCTGGAGCCTCTGTGCTGCTGCCCTTGTCCTGCTCTGTGTCCGTTACCATGGGGTCTGTCTGAACTGACGCAACCTCGTAGCTCTGGGAGGGAAGTCAGAATTCAGATGTCAACACAAATCTTATTTCATTTCATACACGGGAAAAAAACCCAATGTAATTTCATAATACAATAAATGCTTTAAAAAAGGGGCACAAAATCTTCGGAATGGTTTCTTTTCAGGGAGGGAGGGGTGTGAGGGGTAGAAATCAAAAAAGAAAAAAAAGAAGAAAGTATGAAACAAAATTAAGCTTTCAGCCCGGAAAACTGAAGAAACAAACACTATGTCTTCAAAAGACGTTACAACAATCTAAAGATCACATCTGCATTTCAGTCAAACAGGAATTTTTACATGTTTCCTAAATCAAAATTTTCAAAGATGCCTTGATATGTTTTATGGACTGGTTGATTGTGCACGTTCACGTAAAGGAGTAGTAAATGACTGGAAAAAAGCAGAGAAATATATTCTAAAAAGTTAGTCAAAATAATCAAAATGTTGGTTGCTCGACAAAATTGTGAGTTAAGTTTGAATAAGGGGGAAAGCAAATAATTAAATATAGACATTTGTATTTGTTTGATCAATTTCTGTTTGAAAATTGTCACGATAATGTCACATATTAACTAAAATATTCTTTCACTCTTTCACTTTTTTCTGTCGTATTCTTCACGGCGCACCGGCAGTGGAATTTTAGTTGTGGGGGGGGGGGGTCCCGCCGAGCGCCTTATCACATCGGGGTCACGAGGCACGGGGGTCAGCTCCCTGTCGCCGCTCTGTCTCGGCTGACTTCATTTTTGTTACTTTTCAACGTACAGTTTTAGGTATATCCTTTTATGCATGGTAATTATCATTTAATGCATCCAAAGCACGCATTTCTGCTCTTGAGACCCAAAAAACAATGGACAGTGTAACTTGTCTGGTTATTTCGTTAGACCCGCTGAAGTCGGTAATGCTAAATTGAAAATTTTTTTGTACAAGTGTGAATGAAAAAATATCCAATATAAAATAAAAAGCATGACAAAAACTGTCCAACTTTTGGAACATGAACGACATAGCATTGGTGCAGATACTCAGAAAAGATGGTATCTGCGTGTATAAAAGGAAGCTGTAATTTTGCAACTTTATACATCTGGCACAAAACTCGTAATGAAGTAATTCCTCCAAATACAACTTTATGTGTCTGATATAATCGGAAATTTTCGCATATTTCTCTAAAGTTTATCAAAATTACCCTGATGTCTCTCTTTGATGAAAAAGTACATAGCGATTTTAGTGCCAGAATACATCTACAACAATGCAATACATGAACAGTAGGCTATCAGTTACACTCCATAAATTATTCCTTATTTTTCTTAAAATGCTAGATCTAGGTTTCGTAAGTTGACTGAAAAACAGGGATAACTTCTTGTGATTGCATTATAAGAATACTTTCTAGCTTTCCAGTGACACTGAATCAGCACCAGGCTTTTCCAGCTTCTATTTTCGTTTCTATAACCATTTGCAATAACTGACAATGTTTAGATTTTTTTACATTCATAAGCGTCCGCGCATTTGTCCGACACAAAAAGTAAGAATGAATGTTAGCTGTCGTTATTTTTATTCCATACAAGAAGTTCATCTCTACCCATGTATTAACACACTTTTGCCTTTTTTAAAAATATCCCATAATATATCTTTCTTAGTTGACGTTGTATGCAGGCTGCCACAGACACAGCATGATTCATGAACAAACGCAGAGTAATTTTCTCTTGTTTAATGGTAGAACAAGAGCCAACGCTGAGTGTCTTTAGTTAAAAAATGCAGATGTGCATCTTTCTTCTCTTATAACTTGACTATTACTACTCGCGCAGATTTAAGATTTCTCATGGTAAAAGACATGATATTCGTAGTCAGTTTAACACAGATTTTAGACAGATCTGTTGTGCCTTTTTAAAAGAAACAATAATTTATTCATAAGTATGTAACTAAAATAGGACAAATTGGGTACTTTATAAACACTTATCTTGAACAAAAACTAAGGCACATAAATTAACCATTCTAACGCAGAATAAATCTCAAGACATTGAGCTTTTGGAACATGCGCGTAATGGTTTGCTGTGTGGAATGGGGAATAGTTATATCATTGCAAACGAAGACAAAAATACAAACTTCTTAACCGACAGCAGCAAAGTCACTTCAGGGCTCATTAACCCCGTGACCCCGAGCCGGGGAGCTCATGCGGGCTGCTGAGTCACGCTAACTAAAGGTAACAGAATCAGGCGAAAAGTGACGCCATGTCTTTGACACTTATATTCTACGAAATCAGTCAAGACTTTAAAAAAATTGCAGTTTAAATGAGCTCTGCTGTTTTTTCATTAAAAAAACAGACCCATCATGTCCAACTTGAAAACTGATTTTCTCTATTTTCCAATTTGGAAAAGTGCTAAAAAGGACGGCCACCCTTCAAGTGTGCTTTTCTCAGCATAAGATTTTGCAAAGCACATAACCTAAAAGAAGCACAACTCAATCAAATAGTGTGACATTTTTTAAAATTAGACTGTGGCACACAGGGCAATGAAAACGTTTTCATGAAGCACTGGCAGTTGAAGATGCAAATATGACGATGAACCTGCTTTCCAAAGGCACTTTCCACACACAGCATTATAGTTACAACCCACTCACACACAACTAGGAAAACCAACAAGAACTCCCATTCAGTAAAACCAGCATATGGGAAAGAAGAACTTTGAGATATACATACTAGTGAAAGTGTTTGGCTGGCTGTAGTCGTCATTGGAACCGGTGGACTGTTTGCCACTTTATCCATGCTAGAAGTGACTGTATGTAGTTCATCTTGACTATTGTACTGTGGAAACAAAAACAGCGTTTAATCTCTGAAAACCCAAGAGTTCCTCGTTAGATGCACAGATTTCAATAGAAAATCATAATATTCAACACTTTGCGGTCACTTGGCGCAATACTGCGAGAGTGAAAATTATCTGTTCCAGTCACTGCACCAGGCCCGAGAAGTCCGTTGCAGTCACTCTCCTGACTGGGTGACCACATGAGGTATTTTGTACTGCCAACTATGCGACTGCAAAGTGTTAAGACACAAATTATTTTTATGAAAATTTAAAAAGTCTGGAAATAAATCATTACTCATGTATTCTTCCATACTCTATGCACTATACATTTCACAAAAAAAGTTGAATTACACCTTCCCTATGGTTGTACTACTACCACCTGAAGGCAGTTTCAAAGTAATACTCATGTTTGATTTTCTTCAATCTTAAATAATCATGCTTGATTTTCTTCAGTCTTAAATAATTGCCCCATGTACACTATCTTCATAGTTCAAAACATAACAAAATGCCCTACCTTTGCAGAGTTTCTTTGACGTTTTCTTGCATTCTTTTCAACACTCGTTGAAGTAACTTCTCTGTTTTCAAAGTCATCTTCTTCTTCCTCCTCATCCTCCACATCCTCTCTCTTTCTTTTTTGAGACTTTTTAGAGCGATCTGGAGGAGAAAAAAACATCAATAAAAGTAAACTGCAATTTGTTTCACCTTACGAAATAATAGAGAGCAACTATCCTTCAAGTATGCCTCATAATTCTAGTTAAGTTTGAAAGTGTTAACGAACAGCAAAATGCTACAGAATAATTTTCCGAAGGTTTTAATTTAAGGTGTTTACTCCATCATGAAAATACCACGCAGTACCATATTTCCTCAGGCTCGTAATATAACAACTTAAGACATGTTTTTTTTGTCACTTCAGAGTCATGTAGTAATAGAACCCCCTCCCCCCCGCCTTCATAGATTCAGTAGTGTGGAAAAATTGTCAATGTACCATTCTGCATTTAACTCAATTACAGGGCTACAATTAGTAGTATAGACACAGGCTGCAACAACACTGTCTGTCTTTTTGTATTCACTTCTCATATTATTTTTGCATAAATAGGAAACCAAAGAATTTTAAAACAATTTCTACATCAACTGGTTAGAAATTTAGCATATAAGAAAAAAACAAATGAAAGCCTCGAATTCAGACATAATATTTATGCAGATACTTATTTGTTGCCTTCCCCAAAAGCTTGCGAACCCATGTAGCAAAAATGTTCCTCTGCAATTTCCAATCCTAAAAACTTTTCTAAAAATATAAATCCGTTTATTCTCACTTTCTTCCCCAAAAACACACAACACCTAAAAACATCTGTGCACACATATTTATGTTTATGAAAAGAAAGAAAGAAAAAAACAAAACCCAAACCCTCTCTATCTTCTTTTGGGAGTCAGTTTCTCCTGTGGTTTGTATTTCATCATTGAATAAACAAGAGAAGTAAAAGTAACCAAGACACCCAGCAGAAGGAGTTCAGGAATGCCCTTGCCCCTTGAAATGCGCCTAAGAAGTCATTTGTGTGTCTCATGATAATTAGGCTCTTTAAACAGAGACCACTGCATTTGCACTGATTGTGTAATTAAGCCATGAGGGTGGAAAGGTTATAGAAAAATTAATTTCCCTTTTTGAAACAGCATTTTTATCTCAATACAATGAACTTACTCTCATAACTGTCTCGCTTCTTTCTCACAGCTTTCTTAGGAGAATGCTTTCTGATGACTTCCTCTTCTTCCTCCTCCAATGACTCTTCTGTGTGTTTCTCACTTCCATCCTCTTGCTCTCCCTCAGCTTCCTCCTTCTGCTCTCCCATCTCTTCTTCATCCTCCTCATCTTCCTCTTCTTCCTCCTCTTCATCAAGCCCTTTCCCGTTTGTTGCTTCCAGCTCTCTTTCTCTTTCTTCTAAGATTTCTTGGTGTCTCTTCAGTTCCTTCACGGCCTTTGTAAACCCTGAGCAAAGACAATGTAAACGATAAAAATGTGTGCTTCATGCCAGTCAATGTACATTATACATAAATTTCATAGATAAAGCTTGTGGAACATTCTTTAACTTTCAACTGCATGGACACAGGAGCAAAAGAAAAACACTTTCATTATCAACTTCTAAAACCCAATGACAAAAGGATCATTGGAGAAGGGAGGGAGGGACAAAGGGATCAGGGAGGGAGGAGGGAGGAGAGAGAGAGAGAGAGAGAGAGAGAGAGAGAGAGAGAGAGGGAGGAGAAAGAGAGAGAGAGAGGGGGAGAGAGAGAGAGAGAGAGAGAGAGAGAGAGAGAGAGAGAGAGAGGAAGAGAGAGGGAGAGAGAGGGAGGGTGAGAGAGAGAGGGGGGAGGGAGGGAGAGAGGGGAAGAGAGAAAGAAGGAGAGGGACGGTGAGAGAGAGAGAAAGAGAGAGAGAGAGAGAGAGAGAGAGAGAAAGAAAGAAAGAGAGGGGGGAGGGTGTTTCAGCACATAATACATGTATCTGTGTCCTTTCTTGTTGTGAATATACATGAGTGCACATGACCTGTGTAACAACTAACATCATTCCCATAGTAAATGACCAGACAAATTGCTCTACTGCTCTACGGAAGATGAATAAAGATTGTCACTGTCAAAATGTGAATCAGAAAATGTTTGATTTCTTTTAAAAAAGGATTTCTCAGAACTGGGAGATGAGAAGAAATACATTTAACTGAAATTTTGCAAATCCCTTTATCAAATCTTCCCATTTAAAAAAAAAATAAATCAAGATAAACAGAAACAGCAGATTATAGTGACTCATTATAACATGCAAGGCAAAAATGACAAAACAGATAATGAAAAAAACTAATAATGCTTTCAAAGATGTGAAAACTATTTGACACAAGTAAATTTCAAGCGGGAAACATTCATAACTCAAGCTCATGGGGAGGGGTAGTGATCTCTTACCTGCAGTGCGTTTTATAGTCATTGCTTTCAGATCTGTAGTAATTGGTTTTATGTATTCAGCAGGTATCACAGCTCTGAAATTCAGTTGGAATGTGTAGTCAATATAAAGACACTAACCAAGTTTTAATTACAATCTTTAATCCTCCCTTATTATCATCACAGAGTGCCAGATATGAAACAAACACTGGCCAACACAGTTTGCTCTTGATGTCTGTGTTTGGGTGCTCTTTCAAAAAAATCTATGTCCTTCTCTAAGTAAGCTGCTACTGGTCTATTCCCACCTTTTTTGCCATATATTTTCTATGTTATGAGTGAAAGCTTGATGTCCAAGGCCTCTATGTCTATTCAAATGTTAAAAAAACTGCATTATTCTTGTTGTGTTTATGAGTGTGTGGCCCACCAGAGCTTCTTTCAGCACTACTTCATTTATTTGATATCTTTTTCTTTCATGTAATACTTAACAATCTAAAAAACTACATTTCTGTGGCTACGAGTTGATTTTTTCACTTTATTTGGTAATTGTCCTGCATTCACTTCAAAATAAAATAATAAAATTCTTCTTTCACAGTCATTGACATGTTTTGAATTCAACTCATTTTACTGAACCTGTCTCTACCTATTGAAATTATCTGATTCTCTATAATTTCTGTGGAACATTTGGAGTCAGGTGTAATGATAAAGCCTAGATTCTTAAATCATATATTTGATCTATTCACCTTTGCTAATGTGATAACAAATAAGATTTATTGCTTTTTCAGATACTACCGAGAACTTTGCTTCCCTTACAATAAAACATAACCCTTTACATTCATAACAGTATCTAAAAGTAATTTCATGTCCTTTCCTGAATCTACAATTAAAACTTTATTGGCATATCTGATGCAATTAATATTCTCTCCATTCACTTCAGACCTGGATTTTCATTTTAAATTCTTGCAGCAGCATTTTGGTTCCAGTGAAGATTCTGCACATTTCTTCAATCTTCAGCTTTCTCAAAATCTTAAATAGTTTGTCTTGTCTAGCTTGTTCAACACTTTTCCACCAAACGCATTATAATAGTGAAAACCCTTGGCGCCACACACCAGTTTGGAAAATCACAAGGTAAAGTAGTGGGTTCAGAAAAATGAGCACTGCTCTCTTATAAATGCATGGATCATCACCAACCTTGGAAGACAGTTGTATGAGTGAACCAGATTTTCATTTATATGTTTAAAAAAATATCCAGTTGCATTATTATGGAGGCCATTTTGAATAAATTATGCAAATGTTACTTCAGAAGTAAAAAAACCCAACCAATTCCATCCCATCTGATAAGTGCTTTCATCCTAAATCCTAAAGCTAGTAGTCCAGAATGATGATTTGAGCATTTGTAAACAGTAAAAACGATATGAGATGATGGCTGGACTAATTTTGGGGCATTATCGAGTCAACAGAAATACATACCCCGAAACGTAAAAAACAAGGGGTCAGAAGAGGAAAAGTAGAGGGTTCAGAGAAATGAGCACTGCTCTCTTATAAATGCATGGATTAACACCAGACTTGGAAGACAGTTGTAGTAGTTGTATGAGTGAATCAGGTTTTTATTCAAGTGGGAAAAAAATCCAGTCGCATTGTTATGACTGCCATTTTGAAAAATTTATGCAAATTTTACCTCAATAGTAACGAAAAATAACCAATTCCACCCCCTCCTGATAAGAGCTTTCACCCTAAATCCTAAAGAAAATAATCCAGAATGATGATTTGAGCATTTGTAAACAGTAAAAACCATACGAGATGGTGGTTGGGTGCATTTAGGGGCATTGTAGAGTCGACAGAAATATGCACCCCGAAAAGTAAAAGCAAGGGGTTGGAAGAGGTGGGCGGGGCAGAGTTACAAACAAGATCACAACTCCATACAGTTGACCTATATTGACATGAAACTTGCACAATTCTTAGAGTAGACCAACTGCCTACAGATAAGGTGTTGGCTAAATGATAGTAGACAAAGAAAGTGGAGACGGTTGGAAAATGTAACGGCAATCACTCAATCAGTGAATCATTTGACGCATGTTTCATAATATGCACGACAGAAGTACATAGAGATACAACAACTAAAACACTCATGGTGTTCACTTACAAAACAATAAAACATTCAGATGCGGGGGTAAAAAACACCATCAAATGTGTGTTGGCATTTAGCATGTGGTGAAAAATGTATTTAAACGAGGTTACACTGTGGCAACATATAATTCAATTATGCTTGTTTGGATGGTAAACTTTGTAAGAATTAGGCCATCAGCTGCTGTCGGCTTGCTTAATATCATCAACAGTATGAAAGATTCTAAAACAGTCACGGTCAACAAACAAGGCGGTACTACATTCAGGGCAGAAGAAAGGGGTCGCTGTCACAGTAAAAGAAACTGCTGTTTGTGGACGCGCTTCAGTTACTCATTTTCGATGTGTTTACAGCTCGAATACAGCAGTGAAAATGCGCAAACTCTCACCCTCTTTCTTTTATAAATGAAAAGGGCGTCATTCTGATGATGTGTTTGAAACTAACCCATTGTTAAGTGACAAGGATATAATTCCGATATGCGTTGGTAACTAACCCTAAGTTAAGATATACATCGCCGATCATGAGACGGGAACACCAGTACTTGCCGAGAGACGGCAAAGTATTAAACAAAAGCCTTTGAGTACTCAATGATTGATTACACTCGGGGGGAAAAAAATGAAATCTTTGTGGAAGAGGAACGATAGACTGAGATGAGAGACAAATTAGACGACCATACATAAATTAAATCTTAATTAGAACCAATGATATCATTGAGCAAGATTGTGTTGAATCATGAGAAAAAGAACCCATTCATTGAAACATAGACCATAATACATTATAGGCAAATGAAAAACAGAAGAATTAAGAGAAGTGAGAAGATTTGTAAGTGAAGACTCACCTCTGATGCCATCCGCCAAAGAATCGAACATCAGATTTTCCACCCAAGTCTTTGACAACTTTTGCAGGCCAGTAACTGTAGCCTTTCTGTTTGGCATAGACTAATTCATGAGGTGGGTTCTAGAGGAGAAAAAAATTGTGAAGTTGAGGAGTAAGGAACTTCATTTGTCAGAAATACAAGAACATATGACCTGCTACTTGGTGTTGGTATTGCTAGCACTGTACCCAAAAAGCTATGAATCATGACAAAATTAAAATGTAGGCTTCTTGCCAACAAGAAAACAAAAAGAATTCTGGATCTACTTTCTGTCTACTTCTCTTCATTACACTGCAGAAAAGACAAATTATATAAAGTGTATGTGGTGTTGTGCATTGAGCAGGACACGGGCAACACCAATACAAACAAAAACAAACTGAGCACTGGTGTGTGCCGGCACTGGTGTGTGCCGATGTACATATATGAGTGAGAATGCAAGAATGTAGGTGTGTGCTGATTTTCTATTTAAGAAAAGAAAAGCTATCTAACGCAATGATAGTCAGACAGTAAACATGAAAGACAAAAAGAACATGTTCAACAGAGACTTTGGAATGATATAATATTATTATCACTATTTGTAAAAATGTACAGAAAATGGTACTCACACATGGTTGAGAAAACCAATCTTCAGGTTTAGCATTGGACATGTAGTAGCAGTTGGGACACAGTTCTATCTCATCCAGCTGAAAGCAAAACACAAGCAGAATGAAGCTTTGAGTGCCGATAATGAATGATAACTTTCCTCTTCACATACAAGCTTTCAGACTTATACCTTTTAATCAATGTGAAAATTAGTTCATAACCTTTGTTCACCTAGTCCCATAGCATCTACCATGTTTTTCATACAGTTAACCATAGTAACACTATCAACTGAAGAAATATTTTCAACTTGAAGGAACAATGCACTAATCAAAACCTGGAGACTCATTAAATTCTTCAAATAGTGGCATGTTTCTTATCTTGTTCATTGAATAACAAAATGTACTGTAATGCTTGGTCTATTGAGTGTGTCTGTAAATAAGCCGCACTCATGTTTTAAAAATTTGAACTTTTTTCACAAATAGGCTGCACTGGTTTAACTTGAAATAAGCATCGCATCACATCATATGCATTTCATTTGTTGCATTCTCTGCGTGCTTAAGAATATTATCTCAATGCTTCAATGTGTGCAGCTTTTGATTTAGAATGGAGCAGTTAGCACTATAACAATGTGACCAGTTAACACTTTGGTGCCAACACTTTGACATGTAGCGTGAACGTGTACAGTGAACATGGAGCTAAGAATAGGTAAGAGAGTGACGCGCCTGCAATTTGGAAAATCTGCTAATAAGCTGCACCTTTGTTTCCATCGCAGGGAAAAAGTCGCAGCTTATAAATCAAACTTTATAGTAACTGTTAGTGACGCAGTCAAAGGAGACTCTGTACCCAAAGACAAGGAAAATTAGTAAATGGCTTAAAGTAAAATCAAGAGGTACTTACATCATATTTGCAGTCTTTGACCATGACCACTGCAAGATCTGTCATGCCCCCTTTCTCATCTGGGATATGGAAAATACAGGAATATTCCATAAATCTATCTTTGACATGAGAATAAAAATCAGGAATGCAAAAGTGAGAGGAAAAAGCCCTTTCATTTATGAAAATTCTACTTTTTCATGAATCTAATGCAATTATTTTATCTATTTTACCAAAATTACAAGCTTATATTTTTCACACAAAGTAAAAATCGTTTCATGAATTTAAAAATTACAACTTTAACACTTTGCCGTCACATTTCGCTGATCGGTGAGAGTGCCGAACTTGCGTTCCTGTTACAAAACACCGATCAGCGATGTTTACCCCCCCCCAGTCTCTTTGGATTTTCCGTCAAAATGCCTTTGCCTTTGATGGCAAAGGTTTTTACTATATGAGCCTTGAGATGGCAAAGTGTTAAATCCTTACAGCTTCGAGATATACAGAATAGCAGAAACAACCACCATAAAGACCACCAAAAAAAATTGTCTATGAAAAAAACAAAGACTGGCTCCGGTTCCTTTATCAGCCATGCTAGCAAATATTTTTGTGAACATGACGTGAAAGAAAATTACTTTTAGATTCAAAACTCTTTCGCAATTACACAATAAAAATGTATCGAAAAACAAAAAAAACTTCACCAAACTCTCAAACAAAAATACCAACCTCCATAGACCAGGGTGCAATTGTGTAGAATTGTCCTTGCATCAGCATGAAATTCTTCCAAACACTTATAACGCGAAGCTTGTACTTTTTGTTCCATTCGATTCAAATCCATTCTCCTATATACAAATCTCTTGAAGTCTTCCGCATTTGCTTTTAACCCAATCTTGTGTAACTCTCTTGTCTGTGGGTAAAAAAAAAAAAGAACCATCATTTTCTGAACTAACGAAAATGGGTAATGAAAAATGTACAACTCACAAATGAAATCAAAGGCACCCTTAGACTATCTGACCGGTAGCAACTTTGCCATAAAAAATTATTAGATTCCTACCACATTGATGGCTTTCCAGACAATTACATATTATGTTCTCTAGAAGCATAGACTGCTAACACTGAGGACTGAAATGAAAAAATTCCTCAACTTCTAGCAAACAGAATAAAATGTGCTTAGAACCCCAAAAAATTTAAAGTAAACGTTAAAAAGAAGCACAAACAGCCACTAAGCGCTGGGAAAAAAGTGAGACTGAAACAAGAAAAGGGATATTACAGAAGTAGAACCTACGCCCTTAAAACAAACACAAATTTTTGTCAACATACATCCAAGTCAGAACTCTGCTACTCACCTTTTCTCTAAGGCGCAATATGGTGTAACTCAACAGTGTGTTCAACATCTTCTTTTTCATCTTGTTCTTTTTCTTGCTGGCCTGTGATGAAAAAAAAGAAGAAATATTACATATGACTTACTTCCATAACAAAAAGACACACCTTAACAACTCTAAAAATATGTAAAAAATCTCTTCTGTCTTCTCTTCAAGACAACTCAAGAGAAAAGCAACTTTTTACTTTCAAGATAATACAATAAAGGGCATCAATTTGTCATATATGCATCAAAAGAGTCGAAAAATGTTTTAAAACCCAAAGAATAGAGAATTTTTTATCAAGATGTTGAAAAAAAAAAAGAAAAAAGAAAAACAGGAAACAATAACAAGCCTTTGTCATAAAGAGTAAACATATGTACTTTACAAATATCCCGTTGTCCTGTTCCATTCATCCTGTAGCACACTTGATACTTCAACCAAACTAAACTTAAGACTCACTCCCTATGAAAATTGTGAGTACTGCTGAGAGACTCATAGATCAGGAGTAACTGTGGGATACTACAATACTTAAATTGATTTGCGCTTGATGTCTACATGACAAGCACCTTTATCCCCTAACAAGACTGAGCATTGCAATACATTGGGTATGGCACATAGAAAGCACAAGAACTGTGTGGCTCCAGTGAAGCGAACATGCAACAGAAAGCATATAAATATACCCTGAGAACCACCTCCCTAGCCTCCAAATAAAGTGGTGCAGATAACAGCAACTCACAAGTCAAAGCGACAACCAGGCTTCAAGGATTCCCTTAATGTAACCCCATTATAGCAATTTATGAGTGACATGCTTAAAACCTGGTCAGGAGATCTATCATTGGCTCCAAGCTAACCTTACTGTAAAGCAGGGTCAATAAAAACAGTTCCAATTTCAGACTGTGAAGTTGGTAATTAAATGGGCAACCCCTATCATTCTATTCAACACAAATGGGACCTAGAATACAGAGATACAAAACAAAATCTTCAGAAGTAAACTGCATATTTTGTGATCAATTACAGTCGAAATTATCATAGACAGTCCAGCCATCCATTGTGAACGAGAGGATATATAACAGATGTTTCTATTTGAATGGCCATACTATGAGTGGTTCCCACCCGAGTCTCGCTAGCTTTGAGCGAGACTATACTTTGCAATTTTTCTTCTCACTTCCCACTTGGCCTGGCTTATTTTGAGACAGCGACACCACCCTGTCCCCACATTTCAGTGTTTGCAGAGCTCAACCCCTGGCTGTCAGGACGTCTCCACGCTCTCCACATGAGTCTCGAAAATTACTCACCCCGTCTCTTGAATCGTGTTTCAGACCCACTAAGTCAACACACCAATTTTCCCCTCAGCTGTTTCCCACTAGCTTGTCATTAATTTCTCGCTTGATAAAATCAGCTCATAGTATAGCCACCCCAAGTTTATCGCTCATCGCCAGCTTCACCCTAGCTTCAGCTTTCGCTTGTAATGTGGCCTCACACTTAGACAAGTGGATGTCTTGAACAATGTCATTATCTTTTTTAAAACCCTCAGGGGGTGGGTGAAGAGTGGTTGTTTGTACAAGTGATCGTCTTGGAAAGGTCACTGTTAGAGAAGGTTTGACTGTATATTTTCAAAGAACTTAGTCAAAAACTGGAGTATCATGGTATCTTGGGCAGCACCAACTTGGCTACAAGAGATCTTTTAAAGCTAGTTGTTCATTTCTAGTTGTGCTTCTCTCTTGCTAACTGATAGCTGAGCAACATTTCAACATTTAAAGAGGCTATACAAAACTGCCCTCTTCATACTGGATTTCCATTGCCAGCATGCTTTGCTGACAATTTTTTTTCTCATACAATTTCAAGAAAACAAGAAAGCTGGAACAAAAAGACGAGTCTACACTGCAACAGATTTTTTACAACAGTATGAATACCCCTCCCCCCCCCCCTTCCACCACATACTAAAAGAGAAAAAAAATACAGTCGAACTTGCGTAAGACGGCCACCCATTGTCAAGGAGAAAAGTGTCTGTATAAGACAGGTGGCCGTCTTAGGCAGGACTGATCAAGATGAAAAAAACAAACCATTCCCATCCGAGGTCCCAATCAAAAGTAGCCACATTGTTGTTGTTATTGTTGTTTTCGCTGGGGGGTTTTTCTTTTTTTTTTTCTTTTGTTGCTGCTTTTGTGCAAGGGTGACAATAAAACCAAATGTGTCAGACAAGGAGGACCGAGTGCTATGGTAAAACAAACACACGGGTCGCCACCACTCAGAGGAGAACGAGAGACGCTTCTGTCACAAGTTCATGTTGACGTCCATTGTTTCTTTGTTACAGACTGGGTAAACAGTGACCACTCATTTCACTTACAACTTGTAGTTGTGGGCAGGGCTTATGGCTATTGGTTATGAGGGATCACACGCTTACCTCACCAGCAGCTGAAAATTTGTTACCAGGTACGTTTTGGTCAACAGTGGGAGGGGCCTACGCAATACCATTGTTTGGAGGGACTACCTAACAACAACGACAGGTGATTGGATTATGACGGCTTGCCCACAACACCAGGGGCCAATGCACAATTTATGACAAAACGTAATGGAGTCATTAAGGTAGCCGTCTAAGACAGAGGTTATATTGCTTAGTGTGATAGGGATTGTGTGTTAAAATATGGTGGCCGCGGCGGACAGGTGCCCGTTTTACAATTATGTTATATGGAAAAAATGTAAGGGGGGAAATGGAAAGTGGCCGTTTGTACAGGTGGCCGCCTTATTGAAGTGGCCGTCAGGGCAGGTTTCACTGTATATATAAAATGACATATCTGAGACTTAACATAAAAAATATCCCTACCATCTACAACCACAGCAATGTTATCACGAAAAGAAATTATACAGAAATTCTATTGCATGTGACCCTAGAAAGCATGTCCAGTAGTGGAAAACACTGTTACCTTCTACTGAACACCGCACATTTCTTCAAGGGCTGTTGGGTAGAGCTATACCCCCTTAGCAAACCCGCTCATGCTCGCAAGTCCCTAGTTCAAGTAACAAGCCTCAAATCACAAGGTCAAATCATCAAATCAAATCACCAGCATGTTACACTTGAGTCTAGCCTAAGCTTCAAATCTACAACACTACTAGTACATTGTACTAGCAATCCGCGAAGCCACTTGTGTCAGACACCCCCATCCTCCCCACACCCTGCTTGCAATCCGCAAAGTCACCTATGTCAAAAAAAGAGAGAGAGAGAGAGATACTCGCTCACAGCGCAGCAGGCAAGTCTCAAATCCAGCTCGCAGCTAGCAAGCCGCTCGTGCCCCATAACTTGCTTTGTGCCCATGACTTGCTCGCAGCCCGCAAGCCGCTCCTGCCCCATGACTTGCTTTGCCTCCCATGACTTGCTTTATAACCTGGCAAGCCCCACTTGTGCCAGCAGCCAGCAGCAAGACTGCTTGCAGTGTGAACTCTGAACCGTGGAGAAAGGCAGAGGCTGTGCATTTTTGGTGCAAGACGTAGAGCCGAAGCTATTTTAAACTTCCCGTACTTGATAAGCTGAGCGAGTGGATGTAGAAGCGTGGTATTGTAGTACAGGCCTAGGTAGACGTAGATTATCTTAGAATGGAAAACTCCATGGGTCGTCGTGATTGGCTTTTGTACCATATGTATGTAGCCTATTTTGTAGATGCTTTACAATCTCAATTATATAATATAGAACATTTAGGAGACCGGCTAAGCCTACTTCAACCCAATGTCAGGGCCATCCTGGGCTGAGAGGGAACAACGCTCCAGCAGAAAGATGGAGGTTCTCGGTAAAAATTTCTCCCGATGAGGGAATCGAACTGAGGTCTTCTGAGAGCGACGACGAAGCGCTTGACCTGTGCACATTTTTTTTTAAAAAACGGCCTTTGTATCATAAGAATAGCTGAGCCATTATTAACTTTTAAGAGCATTGAAAGCCTCTCAACGCAAATAACCAGAATCTTCTGTAATATGTACTGAGCCCAGAGAGTTCGTGATGTCACGACACAGTACAGCAAGCCTGTCCGCGAGTCACAACTCACCGAAAGTTCCCCCCGGTAGCGACAGGCAGACAAAGCAAAGCACAAGCCTCTAGTGCAAGCCGTCTGCCACTCGCAAGCCTTCGATTAATCGAGCAGACTCCAGCTCTACTGTTGGGAGATGAGTATCTAGACTGAAAAATCTATTTTTCTACAGTGAAGATGGACTGGTGATGATTTAAAATATCACAGAATCTCAGTGCAATTTCTGATTAAAATTTTCAGTAAAAAAAAGATGAAAAAGATGATAAAAACAAGAAAACAAAGGGACCGTGACTTCAGTAAGGTCAAACAAAAGCCTTTCACGACATGGCTCAATTTTGTCAAACAGCTCCTTTAACCTTATCCGTACGTCATGTTTTACTATTGTATTCATACAACCTGGGGAACTTTGTGCCACCACTTTCAAAGAGGAAATTTACTCGTTAATCCAATCCGTACGCCTTACATAGCAGTCTGTCAAAATGATTTTTTTGGAAATACTGAAACTTTCAAAGAGATCTTTGTACCAGAAGTGTTTTAAATGTGAAGAATACAACCCCGGGGGTCAAAATGACCCCAAGGCGTACGGATAGGATTGAAGAATGCTAAATCTTGCATTTTCTGCTTCTATGTTAAATTTTACCAAAATTATAAACAAATAAATTTTTATAGAGCCAAGCATGTGAGATTCCAAGCTTCAGTTTGAGAATTCGAACTACATGCTTCATACAAAGTATTTAAGTTTTCAGTGAAAAGGAAAGTTTGCTAAAATATGTAGAAAAAAAATCAAAGAGCAGCTACAACTTAAATATTTTAAAAAAACCAAAGTTTGCTATTATATACATTATCACATTATCAGTGACACTCATTCATAGAAATAAGAACATAAACAATTTGCTAGAACAGCAGAGTAGAGTAGAAGGATTACGGTGCAGAAGGACCCATCAAATTTGCTCATCACAACAAAGGATGCAACCCCAAAAAAAATTTGGATCTTTCAAAATGTCATAGAGTCCAAAAAAGTACACCATTCAAACATTCTAACTACGCTGTAAATAAGAACATGGCACACAAAAAGCTCACACTGAACAATATAAAGGAATGTTATCGTGCCAAGAACCAGGGCTATTACTTGTCACTTCCAGTACATGACTATCAAACTGATGATACACACAATACGGAACTGTGTTTACAATTCTATGCCCACCCTTTAAATCTGAGCATTCAGAGATGCCCTAACTAATGGATAATTATTAAACAATTTCATATACTAACAGTTTACAGTTTTCCCTCATGAGTTGACATCTAAAATTTTCCTATCTGAAATATAAACTAAACAAATAGCAGGAATTTTACTTTCGAAAAGTTTGTTATGACACAAAGTATATCTCTCTCTCTTGCACAAACTATGAGTTCTTAGGGTTTCTCGGTGTCAGAAACTACAAAAGCACTAGAAACATCAGGCTACACATACTCAAGCTTACTCAAGCAACACACAAAGGTTGCCATAAAAAGACAGGGAAGTGGAGGGAAAAAACAGAAGGAATTTTACTTAAAATGCTTTGCATGAGGTAAAATCACAAATATTTTAACAGAGGAGGCACATTAAAGTGACATTAGATCGCAAAGCAAAAGGGAATGAGGGAAAACAATATCAGAGCTTCTATAGAAAGTAAAGCAAAGTGATAAAAAAATTACAACAAAGTTAGGATTAAAAACGTTCATCTGCATAGATTTTGATCTCTAGCATGAGGAATACTTTCACTCTTAAGAAAGGTTAAAAACATTATTAATGTAATGAGAAAAAGATACTTTGCAAAGAACTGTGAAAGAGGATACAATTTTAGAGAGTCAGATGTACTTATGGGGACTAGAACTACAAGTATTTTTGTGCTAGTAAGTTATGTATTACTTGTGGAAGGCAAATTATGTGACTATATTGAATATAATGTTTTTCACATTTGAAGATCATGTTAATCACTTTAGTGAAATGGGCAATTAATCAGCAGCAAGTCAGGGTTATCAATTATAAAGATCCATACCTCTTTGTCCTTTTAAGTGAAGAGAGAAATCCCAGAGAAAAAAAATTAGAAACAATGCATAACTGTGGCTTACAAGATTAATTTTTCAAATTTCAACGATGGAATATGACAAAAGAATTAGACAAACAGGTATTTTTGTACAACTATATCTATTAAATTGAATATACTTTTTTGAAAATAACAGACACCAAGATTATAGCTTAGTATGGTAAATGTTTTATTCGTACAGACAAAAGCAGTCTTATCATGCTCATAATAACCAAGAATGTGATCATTGATAACCCCTTACTTTTCTTTTAATTTTCAATATTTCCAAATATAAGTTGAACATGAAACAAACTTTACACACAACTACTCATTTTCAATTCCAACATTAATATGACAACTGTTAAAGAAAAGCACACCCAACTAAACACCTTTTTACTTAAGGTACAATTCATTTTTCCTTCAATCTGATAAAAACCAGAATCTACAAGCTCCTCAATTAGTATCCTTAAAAAAACCCAAGGCAACAAAAAGGGTCGAATTCCCATAAATTTCTATAATACTTCACTCAACACTCACAAATCCTTCCACTGCAACAAACTGCTTTTAAGTCTAAAACGATCCAATAATTTACTACATTACACAAAAGGTTGATTCAGAAGATAAAACTTACTCGACAGACACTGCAGACAAAAGCTTCCCCAGTGGTATCCTCACGGGTACAGCCTTGGTGGTAGACACGAAAACAGTCGCTGCACTCATACACTTCCCCAGGACTGTGACATTCAAAACAGTACCAGTCATGGCCATCATCTTGCTGGAAAATCAAGAACGTGAAATTGGTCATTAGTTTGTTTTTTGTTTTGGTGTTATACAGCACTTGCAACTGCATAAGGTTACATGAGCGCACAAGACACATTTTAAATAATTTGAGTTTGGTAGGAATTAATTTTGAATATTGCTTGGGTAGCAGCTGAAACCTACTGTTATTGATTTTGGAAATTAGTCAGTAGGAGAAGGAAAATAACCTTTACAATCTCTTTTTTGTTCAAAACATTATATTTCATTTTATCTTCAGCCTTGTCGCTGACATACAAAAACAATAACTTGCATTTATCCCACACAAGTATAAGCTCTGAGCACTTTACATCGATGACATTAAGTAGTGAGAATAAATCTCACTTACACAAGAAAAGCATTTAAAAAAAAGAAAACCAGTTCAACCACATAGGGCAGAACTTTTGTAGTCATACATTCACTGAAACATCAGTTTAAATGAAATGAAGTGCCTTATCTTACTTTCATATTCTTAGAACAAGGTACATACATCCAGTGACATTATTTATTTGGACATCTCAATCTAAATTGACACAGTGACCTGCCAGATAAAAGCATGACAATCTGCCTTAAAGTAAAGCACATTGGCAGCGCAGAACCAAATATTTCCTTTATTATAATGATCACTCATTGGAGCACGGACAAGCCTATCAAAATCATAACAGCAAAATCTTTCCGGGGCTATTGTAAAAACTGATCAGCCATAGATTAGAATGATTCATTTTACATGTAACTCTTTTATTACTTGAAATTGCAGCTTTGCTAGGAATAAAAAGATTTGTAAGGAAAAGGTGTGAGACAAATTGCACAATTTAGAGGAAAGCCTGGAACCATACATGTGTAGTGGACAGTGTGGGAAAACTATGCCGTTACAGTTACTATGATGGTCATTGTCTTTGACTGCTGGGCATAGTAAAACTTCATTCATATTTCCTCGCAAGCTCAGCTCAATGACTCAATCCACAGCAGAAGATCAGATGCAAGGTGGCTCATATCAAACAACGAAAAACTACAGAATATTTACTTCAAATGACCCCCCTTCAAAACTTGCTTCAGAGCACGACTGCAAACGAGTTCTTTCCTCCAAACGTGATTCCGGTTACAGACACTACTGTACCCATGTTCATGGCCTTGCTGTATTGTAAACATATGAAACGTAAACTAAAAGATTTTAAACACATAGGTTGACTCATTTATAGTAAACAGCACTTACTTCCTCCTCATCTCCATCTTGAGTTGATCGATATCCTTCTTGTTCTAAACCTGTCCGCTGACCTTTCACTCCTAAAGCTGTATACTCAACGATGAAACCATCACTGACTGCATTATTCAAGTGCTCCTTGCATCTTCTTGGGGTGATGTCTGTGTAACGCTGAAGGAACCTTGAGATTCTATCAAAATTCGGGATTTGCTTTTGCTGTCGTATTGATTGAATTGCACTGAGGAGCTGTTTTGCATAATTGACTGGTGTGTGTCTTCGCCGCACTGAAGGTGCCATTGTCTGTGGATATTTTAAAGGGCAAGTTAAAGTTTCATATCGTAAAGAACAAAAACTACCATGTCAATAAAACAAAACTGGTTTGAGTTGTCGAAAAAGAAATAATTTCTCCCTAAAACATTATGACAATGACAATGACAATCTTTATTCACCTCGCAGGGAGAAATTTTTCTTGGTCGTTAACAATGGCAGTAGATGTTACAAAGGTTAGACTTCAAGGTGCACTCACACAAACGCACAACAAGACAGGACATTAGGCCAAGTAAATATATGTCTCACGTGCTGGGACAACCCGCTCCGTAAAACATTCTCTCTCTTTCTCCCTCTCTCTCTCTTTATCTTATTTGTAGCACTGTGTGTTCAGTAACCTCACTGCAGTTGGTATGAACGAATTTCTATATTTGTCTGTTCTTGCTGAATATTGCTTCTTTATATCGCTGGATAGAGGTTTTAACTAAAATGTGTTGGCAGTACCTGACACAATTATTAAAATATTAAAAACTTGCTGCTCATTTGCTTGTCTATAGCAGGACAACCTCGAGCTTAGGGCTTAGACAACCACGTTTTACATAGCTTTTGATCCAACAGTAACAACTATAGTTCAGTCAAAAATTTGAGGCGCAACTTATCCTCAAATATCTTTTTAATGGGTGAATCAATGACACCCATATTTTGCACAGCAGTTTGTATCAATTTGTCTTAACTTACTCATATTTTTCAACAACAATTGAGGCTAGATTAAAAAACTTTTCTTCATTAATTTATATAAACTACTACAAATCTCCTTCATGAGGAAAATGGAATTGTTCACGGCACTTCCCATTTCTCACACATATTTTGCGTACGCATGTGGCTTACTTCACAGCTCACCAATGACATTTTTAGTGGCAAAACTGGTTACAAGAAATCAATTTTATAGAGAACACACTTTTGCGCTAAAAGTTCTCAAAACATACGTTCAAGAAAGATAATCTCGTGATTGGAAAAACAATGACAGACTTCCTTTTAAAAGCAAAATTGTCCCAGCTGTAAACCTTTTAAATCAGTACAAACCACCCACTGGGATTTTTTTATTAGTATTTATTAAGGAATTTTCTAGAATAGAGCTAACAGGTGTTTATAAAAATATTAATCTGTTAAGACAAATTGATACAAGTGTCTGGGCAAAAGCTAGAGAGTTTGTGTTCTATAGTTGAGGAGATATTTGACAATAAGTTGTACAATGAATCTTTGACGGCACTATAATTAACACCAGTCTAGCTATCTTTGGAAAAAATGTTGTAAGAATAAAAATATTAAATCAACTCTATTGATTGCCTTGGATAAATGCATAAATAATACTAAATCAGTATCACAAACAGACAATAGCAGCACCCTGTTTTTGAGCTTATAATATTGCGGCTTGACTTTTGACTTTTGTTCAAGGACATGATTTGGAGACTAACGTACAGTATACCTAGGTGCAGGGGGGATTGCGCTCTGCTTGAATATACAAGTTTCCCCATTTTTAAAGAAACAAGCGGTTTCAAAGTCATTCAGGAAATGTCGTTAAGAAGGGCAGCACTGCATTGGAAAAAATGATACCCATGACAGCGATTGAAGAAAAACAATTTTATTCTGAAGCTCGAAATCAAGAAAATGCAGCTCCATCATTTTCTTAGGAATATAGAACGCTTCATCTTTCAAAAGAGCTTGATCTTACCTAAAAAAATGATATTACTTGAAAAAAAAAATCTAATTTGACTCTTTACTTTCACTCCTGCAAACAGAGATGCACTGCTTTGGGGATCAAACTGCAGTATTTTTTGCAGCAGATCACACATCAATTAAAACTGTCGCAAATCAATTATAAAATTTTTTTATTTCAAACCTAACTGCAAAACATCAAATTATGGGTTACAACAGGGGGTCCTTCAAGATTTTTTTTACTTCAGGGGGTGGGGTGGGGTTGATTGAGCACATGACCCCTGATTGATTACTACGCAATTAGGCTTCACAACTTTGACCATAGTTCGATGAAAAAACGTTAAACATTTTTTAAAATTATTAATTTGCTACGAAAATGAAGTCGATACATTCATAATCAGCGCATCAATACATAGCAGAAAATTGACATCTAGAAGGTAAGTGTGAGAGACAGGAGGTGGGTAAGTAAAAGAATACCGCTTTGAAAACCATTGCGCAGGTAAAAAGAAAAATTTGAGAGCAAAACATTTGTAAATTGATCTATATTGCTATCCTTTCGAACCCCACATAGCTGTGGTAACAACAGTCAATAGTGTCTAAAAGGTTATTAACCCCCATCCCCCGGGAGTCGGGTTTGTGTTCCCGCGTAATGGTTTGCTATGTGGGATGGGGAAGAAGTTATATCATTTTAAACATAGTCAAAAATGCTAACTTCCTGACCGACACCGGCAAAGTCGCTTCAGGGCTCATTAACCCCGTGACCCCAAGCCGGGGAGCTCCGGCAGGCTGCTGAGTCACGCTAACTAAAAGTAACAGAATCGAGCGAAAAGTGACGCCGTGAGATGGACTCCACACCTTCCAAATACGAAGAGCTGGAAAATCACGGTGCCATTCGGCAGGTTTCGGTCTCGTTACCAACCTATCCTCTTTCTTCGATAACAACTCGGCTGTCACCAAAGATCGGAAAAATTTTTAATTCAGTGAATGCCTCAATTTCTCCCGCGTGTATTGAGGTATGATATTTGGGGTTGACGCAAAGAACAAAGCAATAAAAATAAGCGTCTTCCCGGGGTAACCCCTGGCTCGGGCGAGATAACCACGTTTTCGTACAGCCGCACGGGGAACCTTATTGTGTTGCAAGTGCCGTAAAACTCTCACTAAAACTAACTACAGTATTCAGAAACTAGGAAAAACAAGTCTTGTTTCACACACAAGCGGATAGTTAGAGAACGTTAGGAGTACGCCATTGGCCGATATTTATAGTACAGTAACAAACATCTTGTTTGACCTATTTTTTAACTTAGGCTACATAATAGGCCTATAATGAGTATTATCTAGCAATGCCAATCGAACTTCCCAGCGCGGCGAAAATTTGGTCCCCGTTTGTGGGTGAATTTTTGGACCGGGTCGGAACGACAGCGAGACTAAGTTTCTCGAGTTCATTCTGCGCTGTTTCTGGACCAATGTGAATGAAACTTGGCAACCAATTAGGGCAAACTAATGATATGTGGAAGTCGAAGTTCGTACTCATAATACTTTTGGTGTCGGAAACACTTGCGTATCCGGTACACCGAAAACAATAAGGAGTTCGGTATTCGACGCCGAGATGGTAAGAGATCCATCTTTCCTCTATAGGGTGTTCAAATTTGAACCTTCTGTGTCAAGTAGTTGTGCAGAATTTATCATAAATGCACGACTACCCCTCTGTCCAAAGCGGCTTCACATGGAGACCAGCCATTTTCCCCTCACTCCCTCTAGGCAAAATGCGTGTGACCTACAAATCCCCTCATGACTATTCCGAGCCCGTTCATTGGTCACTTGGGAAATGGAGGGCGGGCGCATCCGGTTGTTTTTCTCTCTGTTCCCCTGTAACATCGCAATGGGATTCCGAGGCAAGTTGATCTCGCTTTGGGGTGTTCACGTCCCAAAGAGAAAAAAGGGTTTTTAATTGAATTTAATTACACATATTATGGTTTGCATGGTATAAAGTCATCAAAGAAAGCTTTGCCATTACTAAATCACGCTGCCAACAAATTCTGAAAGTTTAATTACATATTATGGTTTGCATGGTATAAATTCATCAAAGAAAGCTTTGCCATTACTAAATCACGCTGCCAACAAATTCTGACAGATCCCTTGTTGTAATATAAATACAATGCTATTTATCACACCTTTTTCGCATCGAAATATGTACACCAAAATTTTAATTATTTCAAAATAACTACGAAATGGTTAGTAAATCTGACTGCAGAAATGATTTCTCCACCCAAAAACACATTCGGTAGCCAAGTTTTTCTCTAACACTCCAATTAATTACTGAGATATCGTCGATTTTCTTACAGCATCTGCTACTACGTGGTCCACTGAGTATTTTGGGTCATCCATATTTTGCCGACTTTTATAACCCCATAACTTTTTTATTTAGGAATCGATTCTTAAAATTCAAAAAGCACAGTTCTTAGAACTGAAAACTCTTTCCTATGACCAAATTAAAAAATTATAAAGCTAAAAAGAAAATTTTCATTGGCATTGCTACATTATCATTATCAACACTTTGCTAAAATGGAAAAAAAAAGCTTTCATTTTTTACTCCACATTTTTTTTCAAGATCAGACAGTGAGACAGTACGTCTGGAACTTCTTTAAATTGACAGAATGAAGAACACTATATAATAAATGACAAACAAGATAGCAGTTAGTACTATAAATAATTAGTCAATGGCGTACTCCTAACCTAACGTTCTCTCTATCTGCTTGTGTTTCATACATATATATGCCCTTACAGACAGAACGTCAACATGGCTTTTAGTTTTGCGCATGCGTTACTCGTAAGTGCTTTCGGTGAAGTATCATACCTTTATGCGAGAGGTCAGAGAACAATGAAGGTTGATGTCAACAATGCTAAATATAGCCTTGTCGCCCTAGGACTAATTGACATGCGACCAAAGGTTAACTCCACTACTGGAGAATCTTTGATGCGACTACACAGAGGGCATAAACAGGGCTACGATTGGCTGAAGCATTGACCCATGAATACATTAAGTTAGGATTACAGTACTCTGGGAATTCCCGGTTTCGGTCTCACGCCTTTGACAGTCTTCTCACAGCGGGTTTGGAGCATTCAGAGAAGAAAAAATCGAAGAAGAAGAAGAAGAAAAAGAAGAAGAAGCATGAGGAAGAAGAAGAAGAAGAATGAGGAAGAGGAGGAGCAGGTGGAAGAGGAGGAGGAGAACAAAGAAGAAGAAATAGAAGGAGAACCTAAGGAGGAAGGAGAAGAAGAAGAATTAAGTCGTAATAAAATGTCACAAAATGGGGACTTTTTCATTTGTTACCTTACTTTGGGAGACACGGAGAAAGAGTGGGGGAGAGAGAGAGAGAGAGATGTCTGTGAGCCATGATATATATTACGTCAACAAAGGAGTCGGCGGAGGTGACTGTGATGCTACTGTTGTGAAAGCAAAAAACAAAAGTAAACACACGGCTGCAGAAGTGAAAACGAAACTAAACGTGCGGTTTGGCATTTCACCAGAAACGTGGACGAGTAACGCATGATGTTGACGTTCTGTTTGTAAGGGCATGTGTTTCTTCACACACTGGGCGAGAATAGCCAACGCTGGCAAGTCTCACCTGCCAGGCCCAGGGTGAGAGGTCGATCGTATTCTTATTCTCACCCACGATGAAAATAGCCACTTCCTAACTAAGTCTAGATCTAGATCTAGATCTAGATCAAGAACTAGATCTAGATCTAGATCTAGAGTCTAGATTTATCTAGGCTAGATCTAGATCTAGATCTAGATCTCTCACTGTAACCTGTAGCCGTGCATGAGTGCATGACTGCGCCAATATTATACTTCTCTGTTACATTACACTACACAGTACACACACAGTCACTAAATTAGCTTGGCTAAGTCTAAGTTAAAGTAACTATTCAGTCTATTCATTCATAATTCAGGACTATGCCACTAGATTTAGATATCTAGATCTAAATACATGAAGAAATCCTGTGAACATCATGATGAGTACAGGACATCAAAAAAAAAGAGAAATTGAAGCAAAAAAAATGAGGTTTCCTTACAAATGCCGACAGTGAATCTGAGGACCACTGTGTGTATTTTTCAACTTCGACCTATGAAAACAACCAATATGGATGACTTGAGTAAACGTAGACAGCATAGATTAGCGCGTCATCAATATCGTCAAGGAAGGTGCGCAAAGCGTGGTGACGTTTTCTACATACCGGGTGTGCTTCCTCTTGGGAGTCTGCACAGCTGACTGCTGACTGCTGGAGACAGCCTTGCCCCACTTACTAAAGCTGTGCCTTATCGCCAGTTCATCTTCAAATCTGGGAGGAAGCTCCCTGCATCTGCCTGCACGACTTTTTCCTTCTCTCTGCTAAGTAGCTATCAGAAATCACCATGCCACGAATCGTTGAATGCGTACCAAATTTCTCCGAGGGCAGAAATAAAGAGGTAGGCTTACTACTTACTAAATTTAAATAACGAAATACATCTTAAATAAAACTTTGGCAAAGCACACACAAATCAAGATACTTAGATTAGATCTAGAATATATATATCTAGATATCTAGATATAGATATCTAGATCTAGATCTAGATCTAGAAATCTAGAATCTAAATCTAATTAGCCTAGGCCAAGGACACTGTCCGGCACCGGCTGTCTCCAGCACAGAGCAGGGGTACCTAGCTCGTCATAAACCAAAGCCAAGACTCTAGAATTAGGCTTTCTTGTCAGTTCATGTCAGTTCAATATGAATAGTGTGCTGTCTTAGTGTCTGGGTATTCTTTTACTTCCCCTCCCATCTCAGACACATAGTAGATCTATCTAGATCTAGATCTAGATCTAGAGTCTAGATCTAGAGACATCTGCCATTGGCGTGACCGTGCCCCGAGCGCGACCAGTTAGAATCCCCATTTTTCCTTTTGTGCAGCTCGTGTACAATCTGTTTTATAGAGTTACATGCCTTGTCTAGTTCCACTTTTGGTCTATCCTTTTCCGAGAACGTCAGTCGTCTGCTAGTGCAGCAGTAGAGTTCGGAGTGAAAGGCATCAGAAACATTCTTTATTAAGTTTTCTTCAGTTTCAAAATTAGAGAGTAGCTGGCCCAACCCGCGACCACTTGTCTCTATACCCTCGTTTATTATAAGATAATTGTTTTCATCATAATTTGCTCAAGAAATTATTAGGCTATACTAACCTTTAAATAGTGTACTAACAACTTTCTTGCACCTGTTATGTCTGTGCGCACATGGTCCCGCCCCGTTCCGTATGCGGTCGCGCTGACGGCGTGTGGTCGCCCCAAGGGCAGAACATTAAAATGTTACAATGCGAAATCTGCGAATGATGTTTTGGAATGAGTGACGATATCCTGGTATAAACCGGAAGTTGACATACTGTAGCAATGCCCACCGAGCGCGTTTTGTTCTGCCGATTTTTGGCCCCCGCAGCGGGGGTGTTTCGTGGGACGCACTAACGCAAAGGTTAACTGTTGTCTTCAACTCGCTCTCACGCCACTTCTCGTGAATGGATATGAATGAAACTTGGCAGCCAATCAGAAAAGAGGTCAATTTCGTAGTACGCAGTTTGACAACATTGTACCCATCCTAGAAGCAGTCGAAAACGTTTGCGAAAGTGGTTGATGTGGTGCGCTTTGAAGATTTTTCGGAGCTGTGATTTGTCAAAGTGACTGATACGTTGTACACCATTTTTCTTTATTCCGTTAAAATTTCAAGCTTCTGTGTTCAACGGTTTTCGCGTAATCTTTAAAAATGTGGGAGTAGCTAAGGGAAAAAGTGGCATTGCCATTTGCGCGTGGAGTGACGTCATCAGCCATCGGTCGCCTCCTGCGCTACAAACGAGGTCCGCTTATGTGAACCGGAAAGGGGGGGAAGGATACTTGAAAACTAAACGGGGACCTTGATAACTTGCGTTTATGTTGCATTTTTGTCACAATACAATAGATGTAGTCATTTTTATTTGCTTGATTGCATGACAGAAGAATAGAAACAGAAAAGCAAACATCTTGAGAAGTGGTATGGCATTGTGTTTGCGTTATGAAAGCCTATTCCTCCCTCTTGGGAAAGCACACAATTCGACTCGTCCTGTGTGCTCTGTTTGGAAAAGTGAGGCATTAAGATTGTTATTAAAGAGTATGGTACTTATTTAGTCCAGTCTGGGAAGATAGTCCCGTTTATACATTGTTATCGTTCATGCGTGCATGCGTGAGTACGCTGCGCGTGGATGTGTTTTTTTGGCTGTGTGCGCGCGCGTGAGAGAGAGAGAGAGAGAGAGAGAAGGGGTGTGTAAATATGTAAGATTTATTGTATGAATTGTAGCCTACACATGCGAAATATTCCCATGACTTGTAAACTATATTATCTAAACGAATCTTAATCTACCACACAATAGGACACCGTCCAACAATGGATATACACAGAGACGATCTTATTTTCTATAACAAGTATGCATGCTTTTACTAGTACAGAGCTGGATTTATTAGACTAATATCCAGTTCTCTACTTACATTTTTGTGACAAATTGAACCAGAGCATTGCTTGGCAAGGAGGAACCTTTTATGTTACCAAGTTTCATTCAAATATCATGACTTTGAGAGAACATATGACTGATAATCTTTGTAAATCTGTAAAGAACGCCTTTTTTTTACCTGTTAATGTCTTTACAACTCAAAAAGTATGACAGATATTAAAAATCTGACTGCATGACTAGATTCTGCATTAAAAAATGTACTAGACTGCCAAGTTTCATTTACATATTCCAAGAAATAGGCGAGCTATGACAAATATTGTCTCAAAACGCACAGAAAACCGCCACATTTTTACCTATAAACATCTTCATAACTCAAAAAATAGGATAGCTATGAAAAATCTGAAAGCAGGACTAGATTCTGCAGTAGAAAATGTACTGGGTTTCCAAGTTTCTTTTAAATACTCTGAGAAATGAGCGAGTTATGACGAATATTGTCTCAAAACTCACCAAAGATCGTACCATATTTTGTTTTTTTTCCATTATATATAAAAGTGTACTAAAAATTAATTGATTAAAAAATTTGTAACTTTTTTATTTATTGATGGATTTAAAAAATTCAAAAAGTTCCATGCTCTGTGAAGATAAAGCTACAAAATGTACCTATTTGCAAACGCTTTCTGGCAAAAAAAGGTTTTTCGTGGTCATTGCTACATACTGAAGCGCCCCTGAACATGGATTGCCTGACCTATTCTGCCGAGAGAGACCGCTGAGAAGCAAAATACGACAAGTGGTCGTGGGTTGGGCCAGCTACTCGACTAGATTAGATTAGATCTATGTTAGATGTCCATATAGGGCATTTTTTTAACTTTCACTCCCATCTCACACTTGCTACCATGAGTTATGGCCATTTTCTACTGAATATTTATGGGCTGAACATGAATATCAACTTCACTTCCATCACAAATTAATAGCCTAGTTTTTTAAATATTTGATTTTTCTAAATCGAGATAGACGTGCTTTGGACCAATCGGGGGGTTCCAGGGAGGCCTGGGTAAAAGAAAATCTGGGGGGTTACAGGGGGGCATGTTTTGAAATTTTCTTGAAAATAATTGATTTTCAACAGTTTTAGTGGCTTTTTATTAAATATCATGTGTGATCTGCAGCAAACGATACGCAGTTTGACCCCTGTAGCGGTGCATCTGTGTGCGGAAGTGAAAGTAAAAATTTACCCCAGACCTATGGCCTAATTATATGGATGTGCTGAACACGAATTGATTTCTTTTCTGTTGCAAATTAGATAGTTTTAAAAATATTTAATGGTTTTTAACTGAACCCTTGCCACTGGTGGCGCGTAAAACTACCCATATATACCTAGCAACTAGATCTACAGTGATGAGCGAGAAACCGGCCTGCCTGAGACTAAATTGGAAAACAGCATGTTTTACAAGACATTATTATTTTGAAAATCTTTTTGAAATAGGTGCTGGTAATGGGGACCACCCTAGGCCTATATATGTGATTCTGATGATCAAATAAATCTTAGTAATATCACTCTAAGACAAGCTAGGTGGCCGTCTTAGGCAGGACTGATGAAAATGGAGAAAACTTGGTAAACCATTCCCTTCCGAGGTCTCAGTCGGAGGTAGTTTTAGGCTGGACTGCTGTAAGGGTGTTGTTGCTGGTTTTGCTTTGTTGTTATTGTTGTTTTGTGGGGGGGGTTTGGGGGGTGGTAGGGGAAGGGACACACAATGCGGAAAGAAGCCATGGAGAATATTGTAACAACAGGCAAGTTTGATGGAAAGAGAGGCAGAGGCAGACAGAAGGAAAAAAAATACTGGACAACATGGCTAGGAGCAGCAAGAACAAGACACGATTGCTGCAACGCAAGACAGAGTGAAGTGGAGGTCCGTGACCGCCCACACCAGTCGGCAAGGCACCAGATGATGATGAGGGGAAGGGAGTTTTATTGTTTTTGTCAAACGTTCTCTTCTGAGTTCCAAACTGGAGTTGGTTGCAGGCTTGGGTAACATTTCTACAGTGATGTTGTTATCAAGCATTTTTGTTTACGCAGAGGGATGATGTCCTGCGACTGCTGTAATAAAGTTTAAATTTTACAGGATCAGAAAAGTAAAAGTCAGACGAGGAAGAGAAGGTAAAATAAACAAATGGGTCTTGGAGATCGTGCAACACTTCTGTCGCAAGTTCATGTTCACATCTATTGTTGAAGATTGGGTAAACAGTGACTGGTCACCTCACTTATGATTTGTGTTTTGAGTTGTGGGTGGGGCTTGTACTTGTAGGTTATGACGGACCTCATGCTTCCCTCACCAGCAGCTGAAAATTTATTGTTACCCGGTGGTCAACTTGGACAGTGGATGGGACTGTATGGGACCTACCCAACATTTTTGAACATTGGAGGGACTAACAATAATGACACGTGAATGTATTTTATCATGGCCCATCCAGTGTCAGGAGCCAGTACATAATTTATGACAGTGCCCGGCGAATTTGCGTGGTCGTTCTTAGATAGGTTTTATTTTCGTTTTTGGGAGATAAAATAGGGTGGCTTTGGTCCTGTTAGGCAGGTGACCATTTTACACAGTGAAATTATACAGCAAAAACGCAAGGGAGGAAATGGAAAGTGGCCGTTTGTACAGGTGGCCGTCATGACAGGTTCGACTGTATTTTGTATGTGGTATGAAATGGCATTCACAGTAGTCATTGGGAGAGAATGTGACTATGTTACTTTCTAACAGCGCCGAACTTCATTTGTGGCTTTTGCAGGTTATTGAAGCTATAGCATCTGCCATAGCTCAGACATCAGGATGCAGCCTCCTTGATGTGGACCCAGGGGCCTCAACAAACAGGACTGTATACACTTTTGTGGGAAGCCCGGATGCTGTTATAGAAGGAGCGATTAACGCTGCAAGAGTAGCCTACCAGTTGATTGACATGAGGCTGCATCAAGGTACTTAGTCTTTATTGAGGGATAGCCTTATTATTCTGTATTGATGTAAGATTATGAAGGGACTTACCCAAACTTTAAAAAACTAACTTAAATGCTGCTATCTTTAACACTTTGCCATCACAAGGCTCATATAGTAAAAACCCTTACCATCAAAGGCAAAGGCATTTTGGGAGTAAATTTTAAAAAAAATGGGTGGTAAACATTGCCGATCGGCGAGATGAGATGGCAAAGTATTAAAAGAAAGAAATATATATGATAGTGCTTTGTCTATTTCATTGTATTTTTAAAATTCATAATGAGAAATACTTTATTTGTCTCTGGCAATGGTCTTTAATGAGTAATTGCTATTAGAAAACTTGTGTCAACAGGAATTGTTATTTCTTTTGGAATTATGATTGCCCCCTCCCCTTCCTTTTGGCCAGTAATAAAATGGGAGGTAATAAGTCAAAGCAAAACATGGTGGTTTTTGAAATATAGGAGGAATAATTTTGTATTTTCTTGAAAGGGATAGAATCTGGGTATATCATGTAGAAATTTGTGCATGTTTTTCGATTTTGTTGTACTCTGTGTGACATTCTGCTTTTATTTTAACCTTATATTGCAGGAGAACATCCTAGAATGGGTGCTATGGATGTGTGTCCCTTCATTCCTGTCCAGGATGTGACAATGGAAGATTGTATTGCATGTGCTAAGGAGTTTGGGGAGAGACTGTGTGTTGAACTTGGCGTTCCAGGTAAATTGTGGAGGGTCTCTGTGCAATGGAATCTTTGGTAACTTGAGACAGTTGTGTGTAAGGCTACTGGCTAGGATCCTTTTTTTAAAAGATAATAATTTTTTTATTTGGTAAGTGTTTTATAACGCTCGCAATTGCACAAGGTCATATGAGCGCACGGCTAGGATTCTGATAATCAGTTATGAGGAAACTTCCTAAATGTAGCAATGCCCGCCGAGCACGTTTTGTTCTGCCGATTTTTGGCCCCCGCCGCGGGGGTGTTTTGTGGGACGCACTAACACAATGGTTGTTGTCTTCAACTCGCTCTCACACCGCTTCTCGTGAATGGATATGAATGAAACTTGGCAGCCAATCAGAAAAGAGGTCAATCTCGTAGAATGCAGTTTGACAACTTTGTACCCATCCAAGAAGCAGTCGAAAACGTTTCGAAAGTGGTGCGCTTTGAAGATTTTTCGGAGCTGTGATTTGTCAAACTGACTGATACATTGTACACCATTTTTCTTTATTCCCTTAAAATTTCATGGTTCTGTGTTTAGCGGTTTTTGCGTAATCTTTAAAAATGTTGTAGTAACTAAGGGAAAAAGCGACATTGCCATTTGCGCGTGCTGGGTGAACGACCGGCAGCTGGGAAATTACCACTGAGTGACGTCATCATCCATCGGGCGCTACAAATGAGGTCCCGCTTATGTGAACCGGAAAGGGGGGGAAGGATACTTGAAAACTAAACGGGGGCCTTGATAACTTGCGTTTTTGTTGCATTTTAGTCACAATACAATAGATGTAGTCATTTTTATTTGCTTGATTGCATGACAGAAGAATAGAAACAGAAAAGCAAACATCTTGAGAAGTGGTATGGTATTGTGTTTGTGTTATGGAAGCCTATTCCCCCCTCTTGGGAAAGCACACACTTGGACTCGTCCTGTGTGCTCTGTTTGGAAAAGTGAGGCATTAAGATTGTTTTTAAAGAGTATGGTACTTATTTAGTCCAGTCTGGGAAGATAGTCCCGTTTATACATTGTTATCTTTTACGCGTGCGTGCGCGAGTGCGCGCGAGTGCGCGCGAGTGCATGTGTGTGTGTGTGTGTGTGCGCGCATGAGAGAGAGAGAGATAGAGAGAGAGAGAAGGTGGGGGGGGGGTGTAAATATGTTACATTTATTGTATGAGTTGTAGCCTACGTATGCGAAATATTCCCATGACTTGTAAACTATATTATCTGAACGCATCTTAATCTATCACACAATAGGACACTGTCCAACAATGGATATACACAGAGACGATCTTATTTTCTATAACAAAAGTATGCATGCTTTTACTAGTACAGAACTGGATTTATTAGACTAATAAATCCAGCTCTCTACTTACATTTTTGTGACAAATTGATCCAGAGCATTGCTTGGCAAGGAGGAACCTTTTATGTTGCCAAATTTCATTCAAATATCATGACTTTGGGAGAACATATGACTGATAATCTTTGTAAATCTGTAAAGAACGCCTTTTTTTTACCTGTTAATGTCTTTACAACTCAAAAAGTATGACAGATATTAAAAATCTGACTGCATGACTAGATTTTGCATTAAAAAATGTACTAGACTGCCAAGTTTCATTTATATATTCCAAGAAATAGGCGAGCTATGACAAACATTGTCTCAAAACGCACCGAAAACCGCCACATTTTTACCTATAAACGTCTTCATAACTAAAAAAAAATAGGATAGCTATGAAAAATTTTAAAGCAGGACTAGATTCTGCAGTAGAAAATGTACTGGATTGCCAAGTTTCTTTGAAATACTCCGAGAAATGAGCGAGTTATGACGAATATTGTCTCAAAACTCACCAAAGAACGTCCCATATTTTGGGTTTTTTTCATTATATAAAAGTGTACCAGAAATTAATTGATTAAAAAATCTGTTACTTTTTTTGTTTATTGATGGATTTCAAAAATTCAAAAAGTTCCATGCTCTGTGAAGATACAGCTACAAAATGCACATATTTGCAAACACTTTCTGGCAAAAAAAGGTTTTTCGTGGTCATTGCTAAATCCTGCCTGCTCCTCTCTTAGTTTTGCATCCATGGCTTCCTTCAGTCTTTCCAGTATGGTACGACTTAAAATCTTCCCAGGAATGGACAGGAGCATGATTCCTCTAGTTTTTACACTCATGCAGGTCTCCTTTCTTGGGTAGTTTCACGAGCAATCCCTCTCTCCAATTCTGTGGAATTTCTTCGCTGTCCCGTATCTTGCCAATAATACCATGAAGAATCCCTGTCACAGTGTCGATATCCGCCTTGAGAACTTCAGGGGGAATTTCATCTGGGCCGACTGCCTTGCCTGCTTTCTGGTGTTTTATCGTCTCCTTGATCTCCTCTAAACTAGGCTTTTCTTCACTTACCCCCAGATCAATCTCTGGTGGTGGAATGTCAACTGTTTTTCTGGCCTTGGTCTGTTCAGTAGCTCTTTGGAATGCTCCTTCCAGCGTTCTTTCTGTTCGTCTGGATTTGTGAGAAGCTTTCCGTCCTTATCCTTCACTGGCACATCTGCGTTCTTGTACCTGCCTGCAAGTTTTTTGGTGGTTTCATACAGTCCTCTCATGTTTCCTGCCCCTGCTGCTTCCTCTGCCTCGCGTGCTAGGTCATCTACATAGTTTCTTTTGTCTTTCCTTACGCTGACTTTTACCTCCTTCATTGCTTTAGTGTATTCTTCTGGGGCCTTTGCTTTGGCTGCTCTTGTCTTGCTCCTGTTTACCTGATCCTTTTTCTTTTTCCTGTCTTCTATCTTCCTCAGAGTGGTGGCCGATGTCCAAGGCTTGTGCTCACGTTTCTGTTTCCCCAGTACCTCTTGACACACAGTGGTCCAGCCTTCTTTTATTGCCTCCCATGTTTCTTCCACGCTGCTATCCTTGCCTAGTGTTTCCAACACTTGAAATCTGTTCTTAACCGCTACTTTAAACTCCTCTCCTGATGATGGCTCTCTCAGAAATTCCACGTTGTACCGGTACCTATGATTATTGACAATTCCGTGTCTTCACTTTAGTTTTAGTCAGATTGTTGAAATGAGCAGATGATGGTCCGAAGCTACGTCTGCACCCCTGTAAACTCTAACATCCCTTATTGATCTCCTGAATTTCTTGGTACCAAGTCTGGTGGTTCTTCTGGTCGACAGAAGGTTTCTCGGCTTGGCGGCTTCCTTTCGGCTTTCACCACCCTGCGTCATTCTACACTCCATATTCTGTCCTCTCCTCGGTGATGAAAGTCCTCCATCTTCCAGAACTGGCGGTCGTGTTGTTTTTTCTGTTGGTGTTTTTGTAGCTGCTTTTTGTTTTACGGGAAAGGGCTGCTAAGCCTTTGCCTAACCGACCTTAGTCGCCTTCTACGACATGCGCGGTACGGATACAGTGGTCCTATTCTTTGCTCCCCTGTCTCTTGGACAGGGCCCCGAGAACCACACGGGTGCCCCCCTCCCCCCATCCCTCCATATTTTGTTCCCTCTTTATGGTTCTTTTTATGGTCTGCCAATTGGACTTAAAAGCTGCAAATAAAATCCACTTTAGATTATGCCACTAGACCAGATTTTGCTTTTTGCCCTTTTGTGGTTTTTACTGCAAACAGAATTGCTGTTTCAAGATGGTATCTGAATGATTGTTACTGATCAGATTTTCAACTTGATTCATGTGTTATACAAATTTGCAGGTCATTGTAAAAAAAAAGTTAACTCTTTTTTAATGCTTACTTGCAGTGGGTGGTTGAAAGTGGTCTGAGTCATGGATTGGGGTAGCTAGCAGGGCAGGCTTAGCTTATTTCACCTGAGATCTAAACAAATTGTACTTCTCCCATTCCGTATACATTTATCAAATACTTTGTGATGTCTTAATGAGTCCATACTTTAGATAATGAGTCCATACTTTAGATAATCGCTTCTATACTTGCTTCCTATCTTTTTCATTGTATCATATTCCTTATCTATTATACTCTGCTAGCCACTCAAAAATCAGATTTTATTGAAATGTATTTTGAGGAGGAGTTTTCTAAAACATCCATGATTATCTTCCTCAGTGTATTTGTATGCAGACGCATCAACCTCTGCTCACAGGAAGACACTGCCTCAAGTTAGAGCTGGGGAATATGAAGCTCTGCCTGAGAAAGTAAGTCAACCCAGTGTTGTAAGGTGTGATGCTTGGCTTTACTTGCTTGCTTAAGCTGCAAATGCTGTTGGCTTGATCATCAACAAAGTTATTATTTGGTATTTGGAAGATGAATTTGTATGCAGAAACTTGCAGACTGAACGAAATTTACATTAAAAAATTGATAGTTTGAAACTCCCCTACATTCCTTTGCATTCCATGCTCATTGTTGCTTGTTAGTTCACAGAAAAGTCTTGAACTTACATCTTCCTCCATGTCAAGGAAGTGTTGTTGGTGATCTTGATTTTCTTTTTAAATTTCAAAGTGGATGTCATAATTTTTTTTTTATTGTTTTTTTGTAATGTAGGTGTTTTTACGCCTCGATTGACACAATTTAGTTCATTTAGGAGGCGAGTCTCAAACTCTGCCTGTCAGGGTCACCCTAGTCTGAGAGGGATACAACATGTCAGCAGAATCGGTAATTGAACTCGGGTCTCCTGCATGGGACAGCAAAGTGCCTAACCATTACAGCCGCTAGTATGTCATCTGTGAGAAAGTAAGGGTGATATATACTATCCCAGCAAATGAATAAATACCTGTTCTGTTCATCTTATGATAAGTAAACAATGGTCAGTGGGTTGCACACCCACCCATTCTCCTGTTTGGCTTTCAATGTGCACTTTTTGAATTTGATGTTCTCACATGCTTTCCTCCATTTATTTTATTTACAGTTAAAAGATCCATTGTGGCGACCAGACTATGGTCTTACAGACTTTATTCCTTCTTGGGGTGCTACAGCAGTTGGGGCAAGGAAGTTCCTTATTGCATACAATGTGAACCTTTTGGCTACAAAGGAACAGGCACATAGACTTGCACTCAACATTCGTGAAAATGGAAGAGGAGATGAGGAGGTAAAGATTGGTAATCCCCATTTTGACACTGGACAGTCCTGATAGCCTACTTCAAGAATATTTTGTATCAATAGTTTGTTTTGCTCTTGTCAATGTTTGTTAGTTTTTTGTTTTGATTGAAAGATGACATTTTTAAGTCCGTAAAATATCTCTGTGCAAGGTACAAAGTCTCAACTCAGTGAAAGGACATAGTGTGGTATTTCAATAAAGAATTGAAGGCCACTAGTCCATACTTTGAAATACAGCTGTTACAATTATTCAACAGTCTAGTGGTTAGGCTACCAGACTCGTAATTGTGAGATTGCGGGTTTGGGGGTTGGAGCTGTTGGCCTGACGTTGTACCCTTGGGAAAGGCACTTTACACAAACTTTCCTCATTTCACTCAGGTGGGAATGGGTACCCAGCCATAGAGAGCGAAAGATCTTGTCAGTATGATAGTGTTTTAGCACCTTTAAATGGCAGCTTGCACTGTATGCTTCCCAGGAAGTTGAGATTGTTTCAGAATGCTATCAGGTCTGCTAGGGTAATAGTTGAGATTGTGAAGCGCAGAGAGTTTGCTGTTGAGCAGGAATTTGCGCTATACAAATGTTATCTTTTGTTATATTTATGAGAACAGGACATCACTTTTTCACATCTTGCATCCATCATCAAGAAATTTTTTATTTTTTTTATTTGATTGTTTTTACTCCTTGAAAGCTGAATTAGAAATCTGTGAAAGGGGAGCTCTTTTAATCCGAGCCTAAAGCTATCTGGTTTTACATTATTTCTTGTATGCTCCCCCCCCTCCCCCCACCAGGGCAGGGCAGTGCTATTGACTGAAGTTGTCTTTAGGCCTTTCCCTAAGGGGGACATTAATTCTTATTCACAGTAGAATTCTAAATGGGTTGATTTATCAATGTCATGGTCATACTGTGCCGGAACAACTTTTGGGGGAACTACTGCTTTTTCTTTCCTCATCCTTACTATCATCATTTTTTCCTCTACATCTGGTGTATGTTTGTCACTCTCTTGTAAACTGCTATTTCCGGGGTGCCTTGATAGTCAAAGCAGACTTTGTGCTGTTGAGGCTAGAGAGGTGAATAGAGTAAGCTTGATTCCCCGTTTGGACTTCTCTGCTGACATCCACCCCTTGGCGCTCATATTACCTTATGCAGTTGCAAAAGCCATAAAACCTTACTAAAACTAAAATAGTCCTTGTGTGCCTCCCATTGACTCATTCGCTACGTATTATTTTCGGCTTGTGGACGAATTTTTTTCGGGAGGGCGAATGAGATGATGATTAGTGGGCAGTTAAAAGGTCTTTGGGGCGACAAATTCAAATAAATATCAACATATTATATACCAATATTTTCAGTATGGATTGTGGAATACATCTGTAATGTTCATTTATGTATTTTTCAACTTTGGTTCCTGTAAGAGGCGATTATGCAACACAATTTTGATTGGATGTGGATAAAATTTGAAAATAAAAACTTTATAATCTTTGGTGAAACTCAAAAAATATGCTTGCACCTAGTCAAATGATATATCAAAACAACCATAAATGAATATAGAACTGGAAAATATAGAAAAGTTTGCAGTTATTTACATACATTCCATAATATTTGTACATTTGGATCATAACATCCGATATTGAAAATAAATTTTTTAAAAAATAATCTTGAAAAAGGATCACAAACAGATAAAAACCCACTCGTATCTAATATGGAATTATTCAGAATTGCATTTGGAATAAATCTATACATGTCTTGAGTGGCATCTTTTGGGTAATTTCATCAATAAGTATTGATTTTGGAGAAAAACATATTTTGACAATATGAGACCAGATCGTACTCAATATTGACTTCTAAATAAAAGTGCATTGGCAATATGAGTCCAATCGTATCAATATTGTAAAAAAGAGTCCTACACTTCTTTAGTGGGCAAAATAATGATAGATAAAACAAAGTCGAATAAACTACGAAATCGCGTTTCAAAACTGAATCTAAACTTCCGATTTTCAGTGGAAATATTAAATCGCGTTTCAAAACTGAATCTAAACTTCCGATTTTCAGTGGATGCGGATTGGAATAGAATCTAAGCTAAAATTGAAGATCGGTTCTCGAGCCGCCGGGGGTGGCTTAGCGTACTGACAGCACATTAGCCGCGCCGCCCACCACGGCTCGGCGTAGCGAATGAGTTAATGTGAATGTACATAATGGAAGGTAGACACCAAATCCTAAGATGCATTTTGAAGTCGTTGGCCTTGCACTTTTGTTTTAATTTTTTGTGCATGTTGTGCTTCTATGAGGTTTGATTTGTGCTTTTGAAGATTATTGTCTGATCATTGGCCAATGTTCAGTGTTGCTATGCAAAAGCATTACATATGAAAAACTTTGTATTTTTAGTAAGTGGAGAGAAAAGAAAGCAGATTTACTTCGTTAACAATTGGACCAGAAAAATTGTAATTGCTTGAGAGTCATGCAATAAAAATTATATACTTATTTATATTTTAATAGTATACAATATTCAGATCTTTTTTGTGATGGCACTTATGTTTGTTTCCAGCCTGGGAGACTAAAATCTGTGCAGGCCATTGGCTGGTACCTGGAGGAGGCGAATATGGCTCAGGTGTCTGTCAACATTACAGACCATGAAGTAACCGGAATTCATCATGTGTATGAGGAGTGCGTCAAGGATGCTAAGGTATGCATGTTAAAAAAAACCCAACATATTTAACAATTTTAATGAATACAGTCGAACCTGTCTAAGACGGAATCGCAAGGGAGCCAGAAAAAAATTTCGTCTTAGACAGGGGAATTTAGGGGAAGATGGGGGGGGGGGGGAGGGGATTCAAAGGCCCAGCCGGTGGGATCAAGGATCGCTTGTCCAATCAGCAAGCAGTGGTAAAAACTTCACACCTCTCAATTTCTATCCTCTCTGATAATGACATGCGCAGTCTTACTTATCCAATTACCACCAGGGCTCTCCTTTCATAGGACCACTATTTGAGCTATTAAAAACTGAAATGTTTGACATCTCCTTTGCTTCCACCCTTAGCCCACCCATCGGTGTATTAAGCACAGTCAGTCAATGCCACTCCTCACTGCCATGTAATAACAATTCGAGGAACTTTTTTCTCAGCCGACCGTAGGATCGGGGCGGCAGGTATTGGTCAACCTAATTTCATACCTCTGGCTTCTGGCTACCTAGGAAAGTTTCTGTAGTGGCTCGCCACTCGAGTACTCTCATGGGCAGTCATGAGATTTTACACCCACACTACCCTGACCATCTGCATTGCTCAGGGCTCACATGATGGGGTAACATCTACGCCCAAATTGCACTCCTACTCCCCTTCCTCGCCCAGCGACATGGCCATGGCGTTGGGTTTAGAGCCGGTGGAACCAAACTTGCGAGTTTTGTTTCAAATCAGAGCTAAATGGGCAAAGCATTTTTCTGTCTTAGACAGCTGAAACCCTCGGAAGGGAGCGGATTTTTCTTTCCATTTCCACGTTGGACAGGTTTCCGATTTATACAGGTAATTAAAGAGGAATATATCAAGGGGAGAGTGGGGAGGTTCCGTTTAGAAAGGTTTCCGTTTTATATAGGTTTCCATTAAAGCAGGTTCAACTGTACTTCATTTATTTCAACAGTTTCTTAGCATGCACACCCACATTCACCTTTTTTTATTCATTCTTTTCCTGACCCAATCACTAATTCCTTGCCTCAAAAACATCATTAGAATGTTGCACCACAGCACCTTATTTAAACTAGATAACTATATCTTTAAATGTCTTTCTTGGCATGGCAGAGTGTTCATTTGACTGTCATATTGAGGTAGGCACAAATGTATTTTTGAATCAATCTGTTCTTCCTTTTTTTAGAAATGAAAATTCCACTGTATACCTAGTTCATTCTTGGGATTTAAAGTATGAAGAAGGTCAGTTACAGGTAAATATAATAGGTCATCAGTTTTTTTATGCCTCCAGTGTTTACTGAAAAAAACAACCCGAAAACATACACGTGTCCACCCATGAACTTGTTGTCAGTTTGGTTCTGTTGTCCGCAGCTCATGTAGTTTATGTTACGCGAGGCTCAAACTGAGTCAGAACAAGGCAAAGAAAAATGAGTCATGATACTTGTGCTGATGTCAACAACAGGAGAAAAGCATGTTGAGTTTTTCTAGAGCAATTTTCTGTAGCCAGACACTGGTTGGAAAAAACCCTTGCTTTTCTGCTCTTAAGTGTTTGCTGAATCCCAGCTTTCTTCACATTTCCATTTCGGGAGGGGGGTGTCATGCTGAATATGCTGATGAGAACTTTGACTTTGGGGGGCAGAGATTTTAGAACATTGTGGGTCAGTATAATATGTGATGCGACTGGTTTAGGGAATTGTGAACTAAACTAACAAGATAAAGCACAGAAAAACATAGGATGTGAAACATGGATGTACATATACATGCAAGCACACTCTCACAAATGGAAGAAGACGTTTCAGTTTACCTGAACTGTATATTTATAAAAGTAGATTCTTTTTTCCCTCTAAGTAAATATTTTTTCACCATAAGGAGAAATTTTTAACATTATTGTTCATGTTTTGTCTGTCACTAGGATCTAGACTTGGCTGTTGTGGGATCCCAAATAGTGGGACTGGTGCCTTTGCAAGCTATGATGGACACTGCAGAGTACTACATGAAGGCTGAAAACCTCTTCATTTTGGAGGAAGACCAGAAACTCAGACTGGTAAGCATTTTATTTGCTGGGAATAATCTTTGTTTTCCTCATAAGGTCTTTAGAGCTTGGCAAAAACTTGAGGTGAATACATTATTTTCCTTCTTTAATATTGCTCTTCTTCATTCTATCTAGACAAGAAATCGTCTGGATTTCAGAGGATGGCCCACAGAAGCCCTCTAAAACTGAAGACTGTGATACTCTGTACTGCTGCTAATGAATTTGTTATTGCGTGCTATGTTATGTGTGTGTAGATTCATTTCTTGTATTTTTGTCTCGGAGAAAATAGTTTTAAGAAAAAAAACAAGTTTTAGACTTAACCCTATCCGTACGTTGCATTTTACTATCATGTCCATACAATGTGGGGAACTCTGTGCCATCACTTTCAAAAGACGAAATTTACTCGTTAATCCAATCCGTACGTTTTGCATAGCAGTCTGTCATGATTTTTTAAGAAATACTGGAAGTTTCAAAGAGATCTTCGTACTAGAAGTATTCTTAAATGTGAACAATACAACCCCAGGGTTACAAAATTACCCCGGGGCGTACGGATAGGGTTAACAGGTTTTTTAAAATTCACATTTCTGAAATGCATGTATTGTGTACTGGAAAGATTTCTTTTTTCCTTCAGGTGAATTACAGATTCAGATTCATGTCGTAGTGGTATGGAATTTTGAAAGATTTCCTTTCTGTTTCAGGTCATTAATAGATTAGGCCTGAATTCACTCGGAGCATTCAGTCCCAAGGAAAGGATCGTTGAGTAAGTTTTAGCAAATTGAACTTTTTAACACATTACACCCTACTCGCCCGGAATCGCCCAGGAATTTCCTTACGTGCTTCACCTTAACTCACCTGGAACCACCCGCGCTGACCTAGCGTCTTTAGAAACGAAGTCTTGCCTTGATGAGACTCTGTGGCCTAGATTTTGATTTGCATAGTTATCGCAAAAAGTTTTTTCTTTCGTTTTATACCGAAACAAAAATTTTCAGGCCAGTAGTTTTAGTATTAGAATCGATTGAAGTGCAATCGCGTTACCGACACTTCGAAGGTGTCTCGACTTGTTGAAAAGTGACACAATTGAGTTCGAAAAAGGAAATAACGATGTATTTGAGCAAAATCCAGCATATGACTAATCAGATGACTCAGATTTTGATGAAAACCTAGCAATAGTTAGGAGCGATTCAGATTGACCAGATGTAGAAAATCTAGAATTTAGATCTAGGACCCGATCACGAGGCTGAGAGTGAGAGTGACAGGTCGGACTCCCCGATTGAACTAAAGTTTAAAACTTTTCAAAGATTCTGTGCATACTTAAAGTTTTATTTTTTTTGAAACTACATTCATTTTACTTTTGAGCTTTCATTTTTTTAGGATATTTGGAATTTGTTTAGTATTTCTAAAATTGTTTTTTAAACGCTTGTATTCACGGGTTGGGGGTTCCTTTCCCTTGCTTAGGATCTAACAATGGACTTCCCGTCCAGGCCCTTAGGGTGTAATGTGTTAACAATAATAACATGTGTTTCTGATATGTGACAGAGAGAATAAAGTTGAAAAAGAGATTACTCATGATAGGGTTGTTCTGGAATGAAATAGTAATGCGGATTGTAAATTTTCTAATGTGCACGCAGATACCACAAGAACCAGGGAAGTTTGTTTTTGTGCTATGTGTGTCAACACTTACTGCGCTCAGAGAAACAGGTACCAGTAAGCTATGATAGTAAGGATACAATTAAATAGAAATAAAGTTCAAAGAGGAGAAAAAATCGAAGAGGAACAAAGCAGTACTTCTTCACCACATGCTATATTAAATTTTTTACCTCCTTTTTCTTGAGGTAAAGTGTAGCCCAACTCCCTGAGGCGATACTACTGACTGAAGTGTCTTTAGGCCATTCCCAAAGGGGGGACAGTAACATGTTCTTATGCACAGTAGAATTGTAAATGGGCTGATCCATCAATGTCATGCTCATAACTTTGAACTGCAACGGGGAACTGCTGCTTTTTCTTTCCCAATCCTTACTATCATCATTTTTCCTCTACTTCTTTTGTATGTTTGTCACACTCTTGTGACCCACTATTTCTGGGGTGCCTTGATAGTCGAAGCAGACGTTGTGCTTTTGAAGCTAGAGAGGTAAGCACAGTAAGCCTGATTCCCTGTATGGACTTTTTTGTTGACATCCACCCCTTGGCACTCATATGATCTTATGCAGTTGTGAGCGCAGTAAAAACTCTACTAAAACTAAAACTAAACTTAATGTGTTGCCCTTTCTAGCTGACTTATTATAATTTTGTTTCTCTTTGGTTTTTTTCTCCACTTTGAACTTTACTTCTGTTTCTTTGTAAAGCTTACCTGTACATGTGGGTGTTGACACATATCTGTAATGATTGGTCTATCTGGATGAATTTCTTGATGTGTTGTTTTTTGAGTAAGATTATTGAGATTGTAGTTTGTATAACTTTGTACAGGACTGTGTAGGAAAATGTCTGAAGAGAGTGAATAAGGCTCTTGTTTTCTTTTCTTTGAATAGGTATATGATTCAGCCAGAGAGAGAAGGAGCTCTGGTTGGCATGGATCTCAAGGACTTTATCATGACTGTTGGGTCTCGGTCACCATCACCTGGAGGGGGCTCTGTGGCTGCTCTATGTTCATCTTTGGTAGGAACAATGAAGGGCCAGCCTCATATTTTGGTGTCTGAAGTCACATATGTTTGCATCGGCCTACCTGTATATAATATGTTATTGTCTAATTTTTCGATCTTCAATAACAGTCATTCATTATATCTCTTCATGAATTGATTTTTGTTTATAGATTAGATGTTGATTTAATTGCAATGAGTATCACATTGCTATCTCATGCTTCCATCTCTGCTTCCCTGATTTTAAAAATGAAAAAAAATATTGCTTCAATTTCACATGCTTACTATGATGTGAAAGGGTCTTAATCTGATTTTGTTGGAAAATAATGAGGGCTGTTTGAAGATATCATTCACAGTGGGTTGAGTTGATGATTTGGGGAAAAGGGGAGGGGGGGTGGTGGGACAGGAGATTATACTTGCAAAAATCGATAACCTGATGTGAAATTAAACACACCACAGAGAGAGCTACGGTGGACAGAAAAACTGCTTTCAAAGGCAAATCTTTTTTATGCTTACCATTCATTACTTATCTTTATTGTTCTTAAGTGTCTTTGTTCTTTTTGTTTGTTTTTTTGTTCTTAGGGTGCTGCTTTGGGTTCCATGGTTGGGTTCCTGAGTTATGGTAACCGCAAGTTTTCCAATATAGATGGTGAAATGAGACGCCTGATTCCACCTCTGTACAAAGGCATGAAAGACTTGATTCCATTCATTGATGCGGATGCTGCTGCTTTCAGTGAATTTATGGTATGTAGCCGCATTCATATCATCCACCTCTTTGTTCACCTTTCAAGTAAAGCATCGTAAAATTGCTCTGAAGATTTTGCTGGCTCATACAAGTAGCCTATTGTCACAGTTGACAACTTCCATATTATCTTTCTTTAGATGACTTTGCGTTGGGTCATCCATATGGACATGTATGCCATTGTGCTCATGATTGGTTTTGTTCTTTTGAAGGAATGTATTAGTTGTGGTAGGTTTCTTTTTTTGTGAACTTTCATGTGTATTAAAACTACTGATACTAGATACTGACACAGAAACAACAATTCAGAACTCGTCATTTTCCTAGGTGAGCAAATTGCTTGCTTCATACAAATCCATAGCTGCCAATGAGTTGCCTATATAAACAACACAACTCATTTGATACATTTTTTTTAATAATCTGAGTCCGGGAGTCCATTTTTGTGTGAGAAAATATATGTATTCTCTATTTTTCTGGTTTTGTTCATCATGGATTGCTGATACTGAAAAAAATGACAAACTTTCAAGATCGGATTTGCAATTAATAATGAGAACAAAGCCCATGCGAAAATTGAAGAGATCTTTACTAAACATTTCTGACATTATTGTTACGGGTTTGCTTTGAATAGTTTGAATGTATTGACTGCAGAAAAATGCAAAGGGTTTGAAGGGTTTTTTTTTGGTCCAGTGCCCACCATCTTGACCCGCTGCATGGGTAGGGTCTGTTGTGGTTATGAAAAGTTGGCTGCTATGAATTACATCATAAATAAAAGGAGCATCTCCTGAATTTTGAATGACTTAAAGCTTTTAACTTTTTTTTATATCTCATATTTTGAAACTACCATTGGTTGCCAATTTAGCTGCAAGAAGGGAAGCATCATTGTTAAAATGATTATAGAAACATACTGTAGCCATATTTGATTCCTCAGTGCTCTACCTGTTTCTGGTAATCATTGTACTTTTTGCCACTGATTTGTAGTGACTGTTGTATAAAAGTAAGCTTACTTCTATTTTCACTTCACTCATCATTTTGTTTTGTACTCAAGGTGAATTTCTAACGGTCTAAAAACAAACATATCCTTGACATCATATTCACCTGCTCCTTGCTAAAAATGCTATCTTCCAGTTAGTCTTTAGCAACCATTATTTTATCAAGAACACCTTCTTTTTGTATTACAGCTTGCAACAAAGTTGCCGAAAAAGACTGAAGAAGAGAAAAAAGAGTGAGTGGGTTAAATACTATTCTCTTTTTTTTTTGTGTGTGTTTTGCTGTGCATGCTGAATTAAGCTTATAAGCAGTGGCTGTTTTAGTCTCACTATGTACTATGTCCTGAAGTGTTACGGTCGTGTTGACTTCAGTTAAGACAGAAATTTTCTTGCTCCAACATCTGCTAATTGTAGCATCATCAGCTCTCACTGAATCTTGAACCCCCTTGCCACTGTTTTGGAACTTGGATGATTCTCCGTGTTTGTTTTGTAGAGGTGTTTTTTTTTCTCTTGATAAAGAAACATTTGTTTTAAAGAAGAAACAAAACTTTTTACTCCTTGCCAACACCACCATTTGGCACAAAACACATTTAGTGCTCTTGTTTTCGTAACCATGGCAGAGCTTAGAACTTCATCTTACAGTACAGTTGATTTTAAGTAAGTAGGCTACATAGCCATTTTATCTACATAGAACATAACATCGTTTCTTGACTGGCATGCTGTTTTCAAAAGTACTCTTAATATTGATACTGACAAGAATGGCTTCAGGTTTTTTTTATAATGATTAATTTGGGATTTTACATGGATGCCAACCCAAAGGGTCTTCTCTTTTTTATTTTTCAATCTGCTGAATGATCAATAAGAAATGAAACTTTCACATGGGACTTTAAAAAATTTTCACCCCTATTTTACAAGACTAGATTCTTGATCTACCTACTTTAGGATCATGGGGTGTAGAAAATATGGTACGGGCAGGAATCAAATTCAGGACTACTGGTTTGACAGGCAAACATCATATATTGTTTAGGACTAACTTTGAAATGTTCTTCTGGTCAACTTTGTGCAAATGTCTGTTACAATCTTGTTTTGTTTGGCCTCATCAGGAGGGAGGAGGCCATGAGGCAAGGCATGCTGACTGCTGTTCAAGTGCCAATGTGTGTGGCTCAGATTGCTAATGAAATGTGGCCACACTTGAAGGAGATGGCTAAAATTGGCAATATCAACTGCAAATCTGACCTCCAGGTATGACTTAGAGCAATTGCCATGTATACTTATCTATAAGTACAGTCAAACTCTGATTTAATGCGTACTTTAGGAGGAGCATGAAGTTGGCAGTATAACGTGGTTTGACTGTATTTCAGACTGCTTAATAATAAATAAAAGTAAAAAACCTGTTATTTTTGTTTACTTGTCTTCAATCTTAGCTCTTAAAATCAAAACTGGACTAGTGCATATTGACACTTCGCTATCTCAGAATTACAAAGTTCTATCTTCTCAGTTGGCCAAGCCTAGTTTTTGAGAAATTTGACTTCAAAACTTTTGAGTTTCACAACATGTCAAGCTTTTTAAAATGCAATTCTTGGAATTTCTTGATAACAATTAATTCTGAATAATCTTACGATTTTGACAGAGCAGTTATAACTTTGGTTTCTGACCTCATAGTCTTCGTAACTCAAAGCAACCAGAGATGTCAGATAGAACTTTGTCATTCTGAAGTAGTGATTGCCTATGTGGTAACAATGTACAGTACTGGTTGTTTCAATACTATGTAATGTTTTCCAGACGGGAGCTCACATCCTTGAGACAGGTGTTTGGGGCGCCTACTACAATGTTCTCACCAACCTGGAGCAGATCGAGGACACAGATTTCACCAACAAGGTGCATGTCACAACACAATTGGAAATTGTAGAATGAAGTTAATTCAATTTCAAGGAATTTATGGTCATTGAGAACGTTTTTTGCCTTTTTCTGAGTTAAGAAGAAGAAGGCCCATTTGTCTTTGAACATCTCAAAAATGTATTCTGGATAAAAAAATATTATAGCCTAACTTCAATGAAAAGCTTATTTTTGTAAAGTAAGAATAGTTCGCATACTATTTTTCTGTGAATTGTGAATGGGCTGAAATATTTCATTCTGAATAAGATTTCAGTTGCTTCTGATAAAAATAAACAAGTTGTATGACAAAATGTCTTTCAAGTTGATGCACTACAGCACAAGAAAGATAACTGTTTTTCACAAATCCACCCTTTTTTCTTCTAACCTGATTTAGGATTATTCATGTTACAAATGTAAGTTTTTATTTATATGCAAATTAGAATACAATTACAGAGAAGAAAGTAACTTGCGTTTATAGTTGCAAAAAATATGCATGAGGAGGGATTAAGTTTTGAACGATGTAGATTTTTGTTTTTCATTTAAAGATATGCTTTTGGTAGTGAAAAGATGTCAGCACAGGTATTGAGTGGACGCAGGAAAAAACACTATTGGATAACGGATAATAATTAGTGGCAAATCTCAGGGTTTTTTTGGTCGCACAGACATACTTGTTCATTTTTTTATAATTGGAGTTTCAGTACTTAATCACATGATATTCTTTCTCTAAGCATGTCTCATTCCATATTTACTACAAATCTAAATTTTGATTTATGATTATTTCATTTTGCTTTTTATTTCAGGTGAAAGGTGATATTGATCTTGCTATAGCAAAAGCTCAAAAGGAAAAGGCTGAGGTGCTGAAAATCCTGTCTGAACGCAAGGAGTGAGCAAAATGTTCTTTCTTACCAGTTGATATGGCTTGATGAAATTTCAGTGTTAGATCACTGTTCCCTTAGAAAAGTATTATTATTTTGTGTAAAACTTTAATCGATGCCTGCCGTTTTGTAATCACCGGTCTTAACTGACGTTATTTGTTTACAATATATGTGAGATATCCATATTGTGATTGCTGCTTGTGGACACCAGTTTGATGACATATTTTACCGACAAAGTTGCCTCGATACTTCGATATTGTGATTGTGGTACTACTGCTGCGACTGTTTCATTTTTAAAAAATTTTATCGTCATAATCTTTATTATCAGGTCTTAAAATTGCTCAGGTCATTACTTCTGGTCGAATATTATATCCAAGTTTGAAGATGTAATGGCTGTCAGAGGTTGTTTAGTTTTCAACAGCTGTTTTCTCTTTTACTCTTTAAGTTTTCATTTCACACCTGTGTATTGGAGGAAAAGTAATTCTCCTACTCTTTATACCACTCAGCTTTAAATGGCTGTTCTTTGCCTACATCTAATATTGAAAACAGTAAAATATAACAGTATTTTTAAAAGGTCCTAATAACTGGTTACCCTGTACCCATTCAAGCAGCTATTTTAAAAAGATATTTCAGAATGCAGAAGTTTGAAGTACTCTGCTACAGACAGAACTTTTACAGTACTTCTGTACAACAGACAACTCTTCACTTGTCAGTCCAAGTAATATAGTCGTAAAGGTCTTCTTTGATAACAATATAATTGCGTAGTGTTTATACTTGACTAGACAGGTACATTACAATAAAAAGAATTATATGTCTTAAAATGTGAAACATGGTCAGGCTCACCACAGCAAGTGAAAATGTCTAACATTCTGAGTCCAAATGAGTTACCTGTGGTGTATCTTTACATTGGTCTTTGAAATTTGGGCAGATACGTCACATGACATTTATTTTATATTTTGTATCAGTGCCACTACATAGCTCTCCATACAATGTGGGTTTTTTTAATACTCTGTATTTGAAAGATGAGCAGAAAAGTCTAGTGGAGAATCTAAATGTTCAGTCGCTGTTCAAAAGAATGACTAAAAGGGTTTTAACAAATATTTTTAAAATACTCAAGAACAGATTGGCATCAGTATTGAAAGAATGCGTTGTAAGTTTTAAAATGGACCAGACTAGACCCTTTGATTTCTTATGTTTTCTTTTGTTTGTCTTAAGGAAACAATTGTGCCGATATTAGTTTCATATTTACTTTCTGTCGCTTGCAATATGGTACAATGGGTGGAGAAATACATCTGTTAAAAATGTTGTTTATTGAGGAGCCATTTCATTTTTATCTGCATTCCAAAAGCTTGCCGCCATTACTGAAAATATTTTTTTTTAAATTGTTTCCTTTATGCTTGAACTGAGTTGTTTTGAATATTTTAAAAATAGTCAACTGGGCCATATTTCTTTGCATAATATTTGATATTAAAGTTTCAACTTACAAGATGATATTGATGTAAAGGATCATTCCTAAACCTATAGATCCCATAGTTGTCTTATACATTTTTCAGTGAGAAGGAATGAGGCATTTACACACTGTGTGATGTTGCTTGATTACTTTACTATGTAGACGAAATACTAAAGTCTTTGTTCCATCATGAAACTATGGAGCAGAAAGTGGCTGCTTATTTCACAGACTTGCTCTTTTCACTGCCATATGTTTTCCGTTACTGTAGTCATTTTATCACATCTTTGCATCCTTTATCCAACTCATGCTTGTTTGTTGGGTTGTTTTTTGTCATATCAAATCATCATAACCAATATAAGTCCCTCTTTTGCATAGAGATAAAATTAATTCTGATGGATGCTTTTTTTTTGGTTCTTACTACAAAGGGATGGTATTAGTAGGATTGTTCAGTAGTTGGCATCAACTCTCTGACCAAAATGTTCAAAATGATATTTCTACATTACATTTTTTCCTCATCTTGCAAGGGTTGAGAATGAGAAAAAAATTGATGATTCTGATTATAAGAATTGTGAATGTTCTTTGTATAAGTTTCAGTGTGAGTCCTCAACTGTTCCACTGTAACAATTATAGGCTACTTATGCCAGTATATGAGGGTTTTTCTGCAAAATGTTTTCTGTTGAAAACAGTTAACCTTGCCATATTCATTATATATTGCATTTCAATCATATAAAAAGGTGAAATACGGCTATTGGACTACATTGTTTTTTGAGTGTCTTGTGGGTGACCAGTCACTTAGGCTGGAAGGTGTCCATACAGCCTCAGTGTCTTGTGTGGCAAGAACCAGTGGAGTGATAAAGAGGGTAGACTGCAGTTACTAGTTAGAATAATCGAGTTTCATCATGCTTTGTTTATCACAGTATTTTGTGTTGGCATGGTTTGTATTGTCAAAATCTAGTGCATTTTTGCAACCTTCAGTTCATGACTGTACTAGTCAGAAGAATTGAAATCCTCAGTTCATAAGTTTAGAAAATTACTTTCATCGTTTAAAATTATGGTATACAGTATGCAGAGACTTTTTTTTTTATGTAGAGACTTTATGTAGGCCTACTGTATAATCCACTTATATCGACAGCTGATGTATCAACATTTTGACATATTTTCCAATTACGAAATTTTTCCTTCAATATCTTCACTAAACAATTTCTCTTATCGACTTTTTTCGGCCCACTATGCTTTATCGACATGCTTCCTGGGTACCTGGCGAAGCCCACGAACATAAATGGGGAAAAAAAGGCGCCGCTCGGTCTTTGGTACTGTAACTCCCCCCCCATCAATGGAAGCAACCAGCTTAAAAAAGTAGTGTTGTCTTTTTACCGCTGACCTCCCCTTGTTTTTTCCTCTTTGGCTTTATTTTCATTTATCATCATTTTTATCTCGACATCAAATCCACTTCCCAAGGCATGTCGATATCAGTTAGGATTATACTATAGTAGAGAATGCTTTGTTTTGAACAGGTTTTTTGTTGTGTTTTTTATAGTCCAAAGTTCTATTTATTTTTTTCTGACAAAATCAAAATGTGTTGCATTTTTTAAGGTAATATAAAACACTGAGTACTCTTTGCACAAGGGAAATGTTCAGTCCCTACTTGAAGTGCTATCTATTCTTCTCAGACAAGTCTTGTTCTTTTTTAATTTGTCTTTGTTAACTTGTTTTCTGGGGGTTTTTAAACTGCTATGTGAAAAGCTCACTGGGATTTGCTCATCAAGCGAATTAATGTATGTGTTGTTTTTGGAAAACCACAAGTATTCATATTTTTTTAAATTTCTTTTTTGTTGCCCAATATGTATTTTAAAATTTCACCTTGTTTTTCTTCTTTTATGGTGATTTGGTTCTATGCAATTTTTTAAAAAGTTTTGTTTACTGTCTTAATCCTTTGTATGATGATGATTTTCTCACAATGCCTTCCAACTTCTGTTGACTATCAGCAAAGAAATATGTGTTGTTGATGTACTTCATTTACAATCTTCAGTCTTGTTGATGTACTTCATTTACAATCTTCAGTCTTGTTGATATACTTCATTTACAGTCTTATCTTCATTTGAATGGTAGTTGGTGATAATGCTTTAATTAAACAGCTGAACAGTAATCAGGATGTTTGTTGTTGCAGAAAAGCAAGTTTTATTAATTGTGTTTTGATTATAGGGTCAGGAAAAGTTAGAAATTCAACATCGCAGGCTTTATTCTTATGAGAAAAATAGTTACTAGCATTGACAAGGTAAAGAGACCTTGCATAAATAAAGGAATAGGAGATATAACAGAGGGGAACAAATTCCTACCAGAAGGACTGGTTTATTTTTTTATTGCAGTTGTTGTATATGTACTTGAAACAAACAGTTTTTCGGACATGTTTATGAATGGGAAAAAAAAATTAAAAACATTAAAAACATGAGAACAATGAGGCACAGACTCAAACAGGAAGGCTGGAGATCTCTTTTTTAAATTTGTGATTTATTTCTCATACCACTGTTACTGTTACTGACACTTACTGGAGGCTGAAAAAGTCGTCTTTCAAGGTCCTATAAAGTTTTAAAATTTCTGTTTTCTTATGCATGTTGGGTATTTTAGGCAACGCATGTACAATATAGACTGCTCAGAATAAGACTTCATCGTACTTCACTTTTCAAAATAGCATATGGCAGAGTCTTACACGAAGCAGTCGATATATTATTGTTAAAGAAAGAGAGTACTCAGGGATGGTATTGAGAAGTTCACCACAGAGTTTCATCACTTTAAAAAGTCACATATCAGTATTAGCAGTTATGCTGCCTCCATACAAAGCACAGGTTCTATACTAAATAGGAATCTTTTCCTCCTTTCAATTTTCCCAAGAGGTGCTCTTTCTACTTTGGAGCAATAAATTGAGAGTCATAGGACTTTGGAATTAAGTGTTTAAGATTGCTCCGAAGTTCTAATCTGCTTTAAGGGGAAAGATTGTCTGAATCAATGTTCTCTCTCTTATTGATGGTGGCGATGCTTTACAATATTTTAAATTACCCTATCACTATTACATGTAAATAGGTGAAAGATTCTTCTCATTAATTTTTTAATGCTGAGGCACAAGTGATATAGCACAAGAGGACCAAACTGTCTTTGCAGCTGCATCATACTGATGATATTGATGACTATAAATATCTCCCTTGAAAAAAAAAATGAGCATGTTTTTTTTTTATTTTGAAAAAAAAAAGTATATATTTTGAATGTCAATGCTGCTTGTGTGATATTTGATTTTTGTGGTGTGGAAAAAAAAGTTTTGTGTGAACGTGTATTAGTATTATGATTGCTTTTTCTTTGTTTTTGTTTTTTCCTGATGTTTTGGATTTTGCTGGACTTTTGCTTGTTTTGTTTTCTTTAAAAAAAATATAATTTGGCAATATAAATTGGACATTCTATTAATGATTGCATTTATAGCGTATATCCACTCTCAGCAGCTTGGTCTATGCACTTTACAACTATTATTACCCCCAGCCGACTCTAAAACACTCTCGGCTTCCCGGGAAGCTTACAGTTACAGTTACAGTGCAAGCTACGGATTTTACGCTCTAAAACACTAACAAACTGACAACATCTTTCACTGTCTACAGCCAGGTGCTACAATGTACCCATTTCCACCTAGGTTGAGTGAGGAAGACCAGAAAATTTCCTTCTTGTGACACCTTCGTTATTTTTAGGCCTTCTTCATTTAGTTTTGCTTTATTGCAAAATTATGTCTGGACTGATTTGTCTTGAGACAATCTCAAGGTAATTAACTCCTTTAAGTATCATTACTTGACTTATGATTTATATAAAAAATATGATGAACCAGAGACTTCAGATGTTATGAATATATACTTGGAGACCTTTATTGGATGGTGTATTTATCCAGATGCTTTTGATGTTTATATAGATTTCTTCTGCCTCAGCTACTTTTTGCTTTGAGGTTTTGGTATGGTGCTTTTGTTCTTTTTTCCTTCATGTGCATTTAGTTTTATTGAGAGTTTTACGGCACTTCCAATACAAATAGATAGTGTAAGTGTTTAAGATTAGAGATGTTACTGGAGAGCAACTCACAAAAAAAAAAGAAAAGATAAAGAGAATCGATGTGCGATAGGAAAGAAGGAGCAAATCACACCAGTGTGCCCGCCAACTAACCACGTTGTACTTTTCAACAAACACACATACCTTGGAGGATGAGACTGGAAGGTCCTACTTCTTTTCTTTCTCTTTGTTGGATCTATCTTGCTTTCCCGCATTAAATGACAATAGTTGTGTTGTTGTCCTGCTCACTCAATATTCATGCACACTCATGATATATTTTGTATCATTGAAGGTGAAATCGTTTTGGGGGCCCATCTACTTGGTCTAGTATTCTTACTTCATGGCATCTAACATTTCATTCACTCTAAGTCATAATTGAAGCGGAATGCATTATCTTACCATTTTCTAATTTCAGTTCATGCTAGGAACTTTTCTTCAATTCCAAGTTTTGTACTTTTGTACCTGTCAATAGAACGGCTATACTATAATATATATATGTGCCTACAGAAAGCAGGCAAAATTTATTTCCAGTGCATGAAGTCATTTTTCAAGTCAAAAAGTGTACAATTTCTCACGTTCGTAGCTGCAATTTTTTTTTACAATAAGCTTATCTTTTGGTGCTCAATGGCATATTAAAATTCAGTAAAGAAAGACTTAGTTTCATGCTTCTAATTCTAATGAATTTTTGTCTAATTTGAAATGTCCACGATATAAGCACTTAGTTTTTCTCCAGATATATGAAAGAAGCATATGATGACCTCTATTGTTTGAAATGTTTTGTAAAGAGGCCTGAAGACGCTTTTATGGTGATACATGATAACTAAAGTCAGGTGATGCTAAATTTATACAGCACTTGTTGCCTCAAGGTAAAAGATCAAGGGGATGACCACATGGAACCTGGAGAAGAGTCCCAAAATTGATGTACAGAAAAGTGGGAAGACATGGAATAACATCAAGCGGCTAGCTCAGGGTAGGGAAAGGTGGAAAGTGTTTGTTCGTGGCCAATATTCTGATTCAGGGTGAGAAAGGCAATGAGGATGATGAGTTGCCTCAATATAAATACTTTCCAATACCTATAATACAGTACTTAATACATCGTGTAGAGAACTCACTAAGGGGCTGAAAGAATCAGAACACTTTGACCTTCTAGGTAAATATTTTCATGAAACTGGAAGCTTTTACTTTTACAAATGCCAAAAGAGGTAGTCTCATGTTTCCAAAAACCACAAGTATTACTCTATCACCTCCTGATCGCCATCTGCAATTTTATCCATATATACTTCTCAACTATAGAGATCTCTTACTTTTATCTGATCATTCATCACTCTCTTCTGTTCATAAAAGAGGGATTCACTGTACACTGCATATTGCTAACTCTGTGATGCTATCCATAATTCAGTTCAAGCTGAGGTATGTTGTATAATTTTACAAGTTTTTTTATACTACTGTATCAACTTATTCTTTCCCTCTGAATGTCTAAGTGGATTATGTTAATCACAGCTCCATTTATTTTATGCCAATAAACTTTTAAGCAAAACTCGATCTGGCTGGATTTGTTGTTATTATGTTGATACATACTTTACTAAGATTTTAGTTTTAGAAATGACAAAAGACTCAAGGGTGCAGCTGTTATGTCCATTAAAGGGATGGGGCTCTCGAGTCTAAAGCAGAACTTGTCATCCTTTTTATAGCCAGTGCCCCTTTTTGTTTAACCCTATCCGTACGCCCTGGGGTAATTTTGTACCCCAGGGGTTGTATTCTTCACATTTTAGAATACTTCTAGAACGAAGATCTCCTTGAAACTTAATTTCTCATAAAATCATTTTGACCAACTGCTATTGCTATGCAAAGCGTACGGATCGGATTAACAAGTAAATTTCCTCTTTGAAAGTGGTTGGTGGCACAGAGTTCCCCACGTCGTATGGATACGATAGTAAAATACAACGCACGGATAGAGTTAAGGGGGGCTAAAATTTTCCAACCGCCCACCAACAATATACAACACTCTGTAACTACCTTGTTGATCCCCACAGCCCACCAAAATAATCAAATTGCCCACTAGTGGATGATGCCGCCCAGGTTGGCAAGCTCTGGTCTGGGGTACTGCATTTGCCTTTTGTGACAATGTACCATGGTTTCCTCTTTTCATGCAGGAAATGGTTCTTTCTTACTTCTTAAAATCTGTGATCCAAGTACAGGTAACGTGGTCTTCTCAGACTAAGTAGAAATGTTACAGTTCTGTGAGAACCCTGTACTCACGGATGACACCTTCACAGATGAAATAGTAGAGGAAAAGTAAGCCTACCAAAGCTGGGCTGGCTGCCTTTGATAAACTCTCTATCTTTACTGATATCATACAACCGTTATCCTGTCCAAGCATATCCTTGTACCAAGTCTAGGCAAAGTAGATCTCTCTAAAAGCAGAATGGCAACCACTGCACATTGAAACTCTTAACAACAAACACTGAATAGATCATTTAAAAAGTGAAGTAACAGTAACATTTACAGACTACCCCAAAAAACACTCAGGAGTATAATGTAAATAATTTATTGTGCACAGATAGCATGGGACAGGCTTCTATGATGCATTCTGGCCAGTGATGGCTTCAGTTCCATCAATCAGTGTATGTAGAGTAAGGCCTTCACCTCCACACAGGACATGCACAGAGCCACTGAAAAAGAGCAAAGCAGAGTGTCATCAAGACAATTGCCAACAATATAACAATCACAACGTAACAATATCAATAAAGTTAACGTCCTTTTGAAAAGAAAGTCTGAAATTAGAAACTGAGGCATTCAATTGAATTCAGTTGAATGTCAATTAAAGAGACCACATTGAGAGAGATAAATGCTCTGTTCGTAGGAAAAATGCTATTCCTTTGGGTCTAGTGCTTGCAGCCACACAAAAAAATGCAGTAGGTGGGTCCATTAGCCAACACAAAAAAAAACCTTCAACATCCAACAACACTAAATAGCTTGGACAGGGTAAGAGTACATCTGACAGGCCATCGGCTTATCTAAAAGCACTGATTCCCCAAAAATGTACATTCCCAGCAAGAGAAATACTTTAACATTTTGTAGGTATGACTAGAGACATAAGGAAAGTGCAACAAAATCTCTGGTGTTTCAACCCTTTGTTGTTTCATTAGGTGAGGAGATCCTGTGTGCACTGAGAGAGCATAGTAAAAAGAAAGACACAGGTACAGTGCAGCCTCTCTATAACGACCTTCGATATAATGGCATCCTCTGAAAAGCGACATGGTGCCCAGGTCCCGATTTTTTCCTTATATATCATTAGTAATTTCTGGTTGCCTCTCTATAAAGACATTTTTTTCTGGTCCCGATGATGTCGTTATAGAGAGGCTGCACTGTACTACTAACCAGCAGGATGAGGAGAGTAATTCACTTGCCTAAAACTCTTTAGCCCTCTAGTTGAGTGTGGGTATACATTCCTTGTGTCAGCACTGATCTTCAGCTAAGCTCATTACCCAGTACAGCAGTCTCATGTCTCAGTGTAATGGACTCGAGGTCTAGATCTAGCCCATTTGTGACATGACATTTCATACCTTCAATCATGTCACTTTTCTAATTTTCGTCAATTCCTATATCTGTATCCCCCGTCCTACTCATAATTTCGAATAACTTGCAATTTTAAGTTAAAAAATGTAATTCTATTCCTTTTAAAAAGTAATTTTGGTGGTAACGTATTGCAAGCCTAGCAGTAAAGTAACACTAGCAAATTTGGTACTGATAAGCGTGCGTTTTATTTCCGAATACGAATCCACGTAGTGCCTGCAGCTAAATCTCCGCACAGAAAAATTAGAGCCAGGTGATTGGCCTGAGGTACATGTAAATTTCTTGAAATGTTATGGGCAACCAGGAATGGGAAATTTTGTGGACTTCCATTTCTGTGACGTACCAGGGATGCCATAAGTCAACAAAAGGGTTAAGATTTAAATTTCTGTAACAGACCTGAACTCCCTGCAAGTATCTGAAGTGGAATACACTGGGCGGTATCTCTGTGCGAAGTTAATAGGGCTTTGTAGACCTAAATAGGGGACAATCAGTTACCTGAACTGACAGATATCCATGAAAGAGACATCAGACAGATTCGAATATTTGCACTGTACCAGCTCCAGCTGAGAAAGAAACAAGAGACATAAATATAGAATGGGAGTTAGAGTTAGACACAAACAGTTCTGACAATTAAAGTAAAGTCTAACAGTAATGGCAAAGAGGAAAATGACAGACAGAAAATACAAAGGAAAAGGAGAGAATAAGGACCAACCTGCACTTATATTTATACAAAGTTACTAACCCCAGTTTGATTCAGTCTATCACTTTTTCAAGGGTCAAGCTTGAAGCATATAAGGATCCACTCAGACTGACGGGTCGAATTTTTAGGTTAAAAACGATGATAATTAATAAATCACTGACCTCATGAAATGGATGAAAAAAGACAATAATACTTCAGTTGACTACACAAAATGTCTTGAGTCACAAACAGACATAAAGGAATTTTTGTTAAACTATGACTTTGATGTTTCGAAGAACTTACAATGAGTCTGAGTGAAAGTAAAAGCTGCTCTCAGATCTCTTGGCATGTTTGCGATTACAATTTTTTAGGAACACTGAATTTATTGTCTTTTTCCCTTTCTCTGCAAACATAATCCCAATTGTAGGAATTGATTAAGTATAATAATAATAGTTCGTCCATCAATGTCTGACAATGACATGCGCATCTGCAGTGGAGAATATTTCTGGAGCGAAATAGAAGAAATAAGGAATAATTGTGACTTCTGCTTTAATGGCCAATGAGACCAAATCAGGATGAGAAGAGTTTGCCACATCTTGAGCATTTGACAGCTTCATTTCCACTTGAGGAAGTAGCAGCTTGCAGGCTTCTATCTTGGCTTCAACATTTTTTATTTGTGAAGTTTCTTATATATTTGCTGCCCTTTATGATTGCTGCTCTCCAACTGGGTCTGTCATGAGGATGGTTCTCCCATGTCAAGGGATAAATGTTGAAGTCCTTTAGACACATTTTTAAAGAAAGTGTGATTGAGGACAATTCAGAATACAATATTGCCTTTAGGACTCTAAAATCAGGCATTCTTATGACATTGCCAGTCCAATAAAGTTGAAAAAGTGGGCAAACAAAAATTAGGGAAAACTCACATGCATACTCTTTTCTCCATTGCAACGCAGTCTCCACACACAGATTCTTTGGTCAATAGATGCTGAGACCACAAGAGATGGATTGATAAATTTTATGCCTGCAAAAGAATATAAAAGTAAAAGACCTTCCTTTCTGAGTATGCACATCTTAAATTATCTAGAAGATCCCATCTAAGAAAAAGAAAAATCAGTCTTATTAGACAATAATTAGCCTATTGAGCAATGGGGCTTTAACCCTATCTGTATGCCCCGGGGTCATTTTGTACCCCCGCGGTTGTATTCTTCACATTTTATAATACTTCTAGTATGAAGATCTCTTTGAAACTTTCAGTATTTCCCCAAAAATTATTTTGACAGACTGCTACGCAAAGCGTACGGATTGGATTTACGAGTAAAATTCCTCTTTGGAAAGTGGTTGCACAGAGTTCCTACATCGTATGGATACGATAGTAAAACACGACGTACTGACAGGGTTAAGAATTACCACTTGTCACCTTCATTTCAGTGCCAGATCAGGATTTAAAGCTGTCCAGTCATGAATGTGAACACCAGGCTTGAACACGATCCAATTTCTCAAAAGCCACTGCTCTTTTCTCATCCTCATTTCCACAAAACAACAAGACTTTCTCTATTACAAGCTGATTTAGTGGTCTGGAAATGTAGCACACAAGAAAATAAAGCACCTTCGAGCCACCTCAGCTCTCGTTATGAGAGACACCTTAAACCTTCAGCAAAACATAGAAGCATTGTGACCACTAGGAAAGTCACCATTGTGTTTGGAACTGGTATTAATGTTGCAAAAGACATCCTGTACGAAATTGTCAAATAAATACAGATCATGATAATACCAGTTTTCACAACACAAACATACAAAAAGAACTTGTCTTTTTTCAAAACAATAAATTGATACTTTGACAAGTCAAAAAAAGGGCTCACCAGGAAAGCAGAACCTACTATGACCCCCCCCCCCCCCTTTCACCCCATCCCACCCCACCCCCGCCCCATATGACACCCTGGATACTTAACTCATTCAGTGCTACGGACGAGAATACTTGCGAAGCCTGGGCCCCGTCCACATACTACCAACAAGTATTCTCGCATTCTGCCTCGCTATCTTTATCGAATGAAAATGGATTGGACACACCCTGAGGAGACCCCCGTCAAGCATCATCAGGCAGGCTTTAATGTGGAACCCACATGGAAAACGAAAGAAGGGAAGACCAAAGATGACATGGAGATGAGCGGTACAAGCTGAAATTGAAAAAGCGGGGACATCATGGAAACATATAGAAAAGGATGCTCAGGACAGGCTTCGCTGGAGTAATGCTGTTGATGGCCTGTGCTCCACTGGGAGTTAAAAAAGGGCAAGAGAGAGATCTTTATCGAAAGAATTACTCTTTCTAATCCATACCAAGTTATTTTACTAATCATGATGCATTATGGGAAAGGTCAAGGAGATATTTTTTCTGCTCGAACAGCCATTGAGTCTGATAGTTTTTTTTTATTTTCGAGGGTAGACCTTATTTCATGTTGCCATAACAAAACTGCCCAGTATATGAGGGGAGTTCACAGCAGGAGCGCTCAGCACTGAATGAGTTTAAAAAATGATATCAGTACCTGTGACCTGTGCTGCATGCGCACGGTGCTGAGTGACCTTGCACAGAAGATTGACCTGGACACCTGACAATTGGCACAGCTGAACAGTCACCGCATTATCATCCCCTCCTGATGCCACCAGGAACTGTGAATCTGAGACAACATGGACAGTTTAGAAAAAAATAAAGGAGAAGTTAATTTTGTTTCCAGACCAGTACAGAGTAGAGAGGGAATTATTGAACAGTGAAAAATTATAAAAGTATTATGAGAGTATTACAACATAAGCGAACATAGATCTGTATATATGAGAAAAATGAATGATTTAATTTTGCAATCAAAATCAGGATCATAGTGACAGTGGAACCTGCTCCTACGGCTATCTGTATAAGACAATCGCCTGTACAAGAGGCCACTTCCCATTCCTCCCTTGTATTTTTTTTACACTATAATGACATTGTATAGGATGTCCACCTATCTAAGATGGCCACTTTTATCCTCAACAATAGGTGGCCATTTTAGACAATTTTGACAGTATCAATTTGCAAAATCAGAACTAAATATGCTATAACAGATTGTTGAGTACTATTACATGAACACATCATTACATCTCTAAACCTCCAACATCTTCACCACACCGAACAAACTGAGCTCTCACCTGAGACTTGTAAGCTGTGCAGGCTGTTCACACCTGACTGATGGGCTGGCAATGATGCAAGCGGCTGCCAGTCTTTATGTTTATCCTCTTTGTCATCCTCGCCCTGCCTTGTGAAGTCTGTATAGTCATCTGAAACATCTCCTTCTTCTTCATCAGTCCCAGCCTCACATGAACCTGCCTTGGACTGGTTCTGTTGTCCTCTTTCGCAGTGGTTGTCAGGGTTTTTATTTGTCTTTACTTTCCCTCTGTGGTTCAAGCTTCTGTCATTTGTGCATTTCTGAATAACCTCCTGTCCCAACTTCCATACAACGATTTGGCCATTTGTGGAGGCAGACAGCAGCAGGAGGGTAGGCTGTGAGTCAGAAGTGTGCTGTAGGTGGTGGGTCACTTTAAGAACACAGCCTTTGTGGAATGAGCTTTGAACAACAGCTGAGAAATTCTGTGTTGCTTCATCAAACAAAAGAACCCTGAGAAGAAATGAAGAAAGTGCAATTGCTCACTTTATCTAGATTACCTTCACAATGAATCACAACACACGCACACAACAGGCTTTACGACAGGAACCATCACCAGACTGATATTGACTGAAAAGGGTGCACTAAGCAACAACCTGGAGTAAGACTATTCTCTATTTTTAGACTTGCTTAGGTGTGATTTGTAATTTTTAATAAAGGAAAAAGGCTGGAGAATGCATCTGTAGGAGCGTTTTTCTTCTTCGTTGAATATGGCAGCAATTTTGTTTTCCTCAAATTTTAGATCACATTTAAGAAGACAAATGGGAATGTACAATAAAACGGCCAGCATTTCAATTCTCTTACCTTTCAAATATTACTACCCAAGCAAAATGGAACAATCAGACAGTAGAAAGATTTTAAAAACGAAAAAAAAAGAGAAAAACTTTGCCTTTGTCTTTATTATTTATCAGCAATGCACTGACTTTCACCCTTCAATATGGTACTGAAGTGATACTTCCAGTTCGGCTTCAAAAGCAACTGCTACAAATGAGACTTTTTAAATAAGTAACAGGAGGCTCTAGTGGTCTAAAGGGTAAGCATCTCAGTCAAAAGACTTACTTCCTTTAAATTTTCTCCTTTTGCCCCATTTCTTGCTCTCTTTTTTTTGTAGAGATTTTACACCCCTCGCAACAGCATAAGGTCATATGAGCGCCAGAAGATTAGAGGTGTTACAAGAGAGTACCAAACATTTTTAAAAAGGGAGATAAGGACGATAGATGTTTGATAGGAAAGAAGAAGCAAACCACACCAGAGCACCCACCAGCCACCCATCTTGCTCTCTAGTCCCCGTCCTCTTCCATCATCTACTTTCCCCTCCACCCACCCTCACCCCTGGCCACCTCTCTACTTCTCTCTCCCTTACTCTCGCCTCTTGACGCTTTCTACTGCTACTTATGCCTCCTTATTACTGTTATCTTTCAGTCACACCCCTGATCTTATGGTACCTAGCCTTCTCAGATATTGCCCCCCAAAAATTTTGGAGGTCGCATGTTCAAGTTGCGCACAGTAAAGATCCCTTGGTGGTCCTAACATCGATAAGAGTATGCTTCAGTGACAACTCAAGCAAATTCCAAAATTCATTCCTATTACCAAAACCGAACATACATGTACTCTAGTCAGTATTTTAAAATATATAGAGAGTACTTTCTAAATCAGAATGCGTCTGCCTTAAACGCATAAGGGCCCTATGGAGTAGGAAAAATGTGACACATGTAAAAATCAGTTTCACTTCAGGTTGAAGAACCAGTAGTCGACTACCCCTAAGAACTAGAAGAGAACACATCACGACTGACGTAGAGAAACAGCAAACCTACCTCAGAACACCATCTGAGCCTGCCAGAGACACCAGGTACAGTCCAGAGACATGTCCACCACTGGCTGTGTCATCACGCTGACTCCCTGGCTCTAGCTGGGAGACTGTTGTGGCGGCAACACTCATCACTCGAGTCTCCGGGTCCAGCCTCAGTTTCCGAGTTTTCCAAGAAGAGGACCGTTGCTTGTGCCTGCACTCACCAAGGAAATGTGTCGCTAAGTGTTTGTAGGAACAGATCTGCTGAGATCTGCTTGTACTTGTGCCAGCTCCACTTAGTGTGGGATCAACAGCTGAACCAGTGCTCACAGAACTCAGACTGACTCCATGCTTATCACAGTCGATGCTGCTAGGCGTCTCAGTCACAGAAACAGCATGTTTTGTCAAACGTGAAGTTTGGATTTCATTCATCACATCAGCTTCCTCTGTAGCTTCTGACACTACACGTTCGACATTTACACGACCTCCATAGCTGTGACCTCCTCTTCTACACATTGGGGGCATGACTTGCAACTTCCAGGCCCGTAGTTCAGCTCGTCCTCCTCCACTGAATAGGACAAAAGAAGTCTCTTTGTCGGCATGATCCCACTCCAGATCTGACCGTGGTGGTAACTTGTGGATGCCTTCACATGGAACAGCAGTGACACAGCGCACGCTGGAAAGATGACCTTTTAATGATGCAAGAGGTTCCCATTGTACCAGTCCTTGGTCATCTGAGAGAAGTGGTAAAGAATGAAACAACCTGCAATTTGCAATTTCCTATTAAAAATTAAATAAGTGTGACAAAATTCAATACTTAAACGGCAGCAAATTTATAGTGAAAGGATGTAAAAGCTTTCTTTTAAAAATGTCAGGCACAAAAGAAAAAAAATCTTAATAACAGAAAAGATCTGAAAACAAAACTAGAAACATATATGTATATGACACGGAGTCCAAGTTTTATACCTTTTAAAAACAAAGGGTGGCACTCATATGACCTTATGCAGTTGCGAGCACCGTAAAACCTTCTACTATAAAAAAAAAAAAAAACAAAAAAATCCAAAAGAAAACAAGTGTCTTAAAAAATGAATATACATTTGAACCTGCATCAACGGTCACCTGTCCAATGACATCACCTGTCCAAACGACCACTTCCCACTCCCTCCTTGAATTAAAAAAATATTATAATGACACTGTCTAAGATGCCCACCTGACCTGTCTAAGACAGCCACTTTTCTCCTAGACGATGGGTGGCCATCTTGGACAATTTTGAGTGTACCTTCAAAGGCAAAAATTGAGTTTCTAAAGTGAAAATGAGACATGAGATAAACATCGGACGGTCAAGATTAGAACAAAAGGATACGCCGCATCACTCCAACACTGAGGCTGGTGTCCTCACTGGCTGTACAGACTAGAGGGGCCCAGGTGCCTGCAGACAAAGGAGTACTGATGGATTTACTTAAGTAGGACTGAGAACATAATGAAGACTTTTCACTAATGCAGTTAGTTACAGTGGAGTCTCCTAAAACTGAAATCTGAGGAACCACCAGATTTTCTTCAGTTTCCAGGTTTTCTTCAGTTCAACCACATTCTTAGTTTAGTGAGGTTGCTCAAATAGAAGGGGGGGAAAAGGAACTTTTTTCTCTTGGTTTACCTCTGTTTTCAGATAAAATGTTTTCGGTTAAGGTGGACTCCATTGTATTTCTAGCATAAAAGTCCTGAAACATGATATTGGGTAGTGGGGGCACGAGTCCACAATAACATTAATGATTAGCTAAAACTTTTCCCATTACCAAGAAGACAGTTTGAGCTAAAGAGAAACGCATCAAGACTGCAAAAAAGAAGTTTGAAAAAGGATATGGAATGATAAAGAATCTACCACTGCCTGTATCAAGACAACAAACAGAAATTTTATTAAAACTTTAGACAGAAGAGGAAAAGACTTAACTGTATACACATCAAAACAATAACAAAATGTTATAGGGAATAGATTTAACCTACTGGCCTCCCGATCATCTGCTCACGAAAACAAAATCACTTGTCACTAAAGCAGAAAACAGGCAGTCCAATACAATTTACGAATACCATGAAATGTGTAATTGTTTACCTTCCTGACAGTGTACAAAACCAATGACTGTCGCACCACTCAGTTCTCTGCCATGAAGAGGGGCCTGAAAAGTTCCAACATTGAAAGTTTTATATCACCGCGAGGCGACCCTAGCGCATACCATCCACAAAAGGCTACGCCTAAACTTATATTATATTTCAAATGAAGAAAAGGTTGATTCTTCCTTTTCAGTATTCTTGTATTTTATCCTAGTGTCAATTTCTTCTATTTCATTATTTTGACAATCCCTTGATTTCACCACAATGCCTCACATTTTCAAAAGTGACGAGAGGAACACCAATGCTATGATACTGATTTTTAAAAATATCTAACTCTTTATCTTCGAAGGGGGGAGGTCAACCCACTATGCCCTGCCCTCTTCCCTGCCCTCTTCTGGTGCGAAATTTAAGTGGCACATACGTCACTAAATCCATCATTAAATCAAAATAAGAGAACCTATTTTGATAGTTCTTCACCTAGGTAATGAACTCCTAGTAAAAGAAACCTCTTTTTGGTAGTTGCTTAAAAGTAATTTGACGTCGAAGACGTTGTAAAGGAATGTGCCCTAGCCATTGTCAGAGGCTCATCTGCACAGTGGCTCCGACCGTGAGCCACTGGGAGCGGCTTGCCAGATAAAAGGAGTTAAGCTCAATCAGAAACAGGTTTCACAAGAAGATTCAAGCAGGTCGGGGCACCTGTGCTTCAAAAACAGAAGTGAGGTAGAAAATGGGCACGTGGGGAAGAAACAAAATACTGACCCGAATGATGCGCTGCTTTGTCTGCCGCTCACTGTCCACTAGGTACACAGCTCCAGCCTTCAAATAGACAAATCTGAGAACTCCGTTCTCGTGACAACACCCCCATGACCTGTGACCTCCGCCACACTGCACCGACATGATCTGCTGGTTGTATGTGACGCTCCAAACAGTGAACTGGGACTGCAAGTCATGACATAAAATATATGCGCTATGTCAGATCATAGAAAATATTTTGAGTAAACACTTCAAAGTCAAAGTGCAAAAGAACAGAAGACTGCTGGATTGGGAAACTGAAGCAAAGATACTAAGATCACGGAACTGAATAGAAACAACAGTAATATTTCCATAAGCCTATAGAATTAGATTTCATGAACATAAAGGAAAAATTCTCACCTCCACAACATAAAAATTGTTGAACTTGCTTCGAGCGAACAAGTTCTAATAAGTTACACACATCATTTACTAGCAATTGATTTGATAGAATGGAGACTGGAGCTGTTAGAATCTATTGCTACAGACCAAATCTTGTCATGTCAGAGGTGGACATGGGAGAACTTACTGAAAAAAATCCATACACCAAGAGGTCTCCGTTGTGCCATTCCAATCTATCAATCCATTCCAGGCCTTTCAAGATCTGTGAAAATTCACAAAAAGAACACCTTTGTGATAAGGCTGACATTTTCTTGCACAGCAAAATTATAAATTTCACATGTTTTGAATTCTATGATAAAATTTAAGTTTGTTGTGGGCAAACAGGTTAACTGGCATTTGGTGATAATCATCCTGTCCAGACAGAAAGACACCCCGCACCCACCCCCAGATTTCGTGATCATGCCCTGATGAAAATGTCATTAGTATGATGACCTGAAGTCATACTAGAGACACACAATGGCTTTTCTTTAGGACAACTAAGGCAAAACATGAAAAACATGAAACAAAATATAAATAATTAGCTGTGTCTACCCTCAGCACAGTCTAAGAAACCAGTACTACAACACGGCACTAGGTGAAACCAGTCTAGCTATTACTACGACTGAATAAGCTCCCTGTCACTTTTTTTTTTTTTTTTTTTGGTAAGTGTATTACAGCGCACGCAACTGCATAAGGTCATATGAGCATGCGGGAAACATGAACCATTTTCATTTTGGTAGGAAATTTTGAATTTTGCCCAGGTGGCAGGCGAAGCCTACTTTTATTGATTTTAGATTACCAAGGGATATTTAACGAGCGCAACTTGCACACAGGACCTCCGAGATTGTTCGCCCTTATCCGAGAAGGCTAGGTGTAGATCTTTCCTACCAGAAGATCAGGGGTGTGGCTGAAAGACAGCAGTAAAAAGGAGCCAAGGGGTAGCAGTAGAAAGACTGCAGAATGAGTCAGGAGCCAAGAGGAGGGGGCAAAGGAGGTGAGGGGGTGGTGGAAGAAAGTGGAGACGAAAGCAGACGACAGAACATTGCTAGAGAGCAGGAAAGGGGGTGAAAGGAGACAATTTTAGAGAAGAAAATGTTTTTGCAGCTACCTGGATTCGAACTCTGTGTCTTTGAATGAGAAGTGAACACCTAAACCTCTAGGCCACGAGAGCCTCCACTCTGTACCTCTAGTCCCCATCAAGAAAGTATAGAAGTCAAATAATGCACTACCTTATTTCCATGCAGTTGGCTGAGTGCTCCGTTCTTCACCTCCCACTGCCTGTAGAAGCCGTCTCTCCCTGCTGTGTGAACCCGACCATCTCTGTAACAGACGTAGGTCACACCGGCTTTACTGTGGACTTTCTGAAAGGTTTGATGTGGCAGCAGCTGAAAGACAAAAAGACAGAGTTACACAGAGTAAATATAAACAAGTTCACACTAATGAACACAAAAAGTAAGTTAAGCTCAAGTCAGAGAGAGGAACAGAGCCTCAAAGAAATTTTTTTTAAAGAAAGAAAATAGGCAGATTGATCAAACCAGTGGGAATAAACCAGAATCAATTGTTACTCTCAAACCTGGACCTATCAAATGTGTGCAAGTCGGGGCTAAACGACTGTGAGTCAGGTATCATGAGTAACCAGCAGACAACAGTTACAGAGCACTTAGTGTCAGGATATTAGATATTTGCATCCTTCAGTTCAAATAATTTTTTTAGATTCATGAAAGATTTGCAGCAAAAGGGTAAAAGCTCAATGAGCATATATAGAGTACAAGTTAACAATCTGTCCCTTCCTACACAGAAAACAAAAAAACTTAAACAATAGGACATGAACAACACATTCAGGATTTGCAATAAAATATTTTTCTTATCTTTAAAATTTTTTTCACAAGTGCATGCTGAATAGAGGACAAGCATATGATCAAAACAAAAAACTAGACCTCCTGAAAGAAAAATTATTTTTGCCAACAACCCAAATGACACCAAACATATATTTTTACAAGACTCACTGGAGTAGTTTGGGAACCATCTGCATCAGAAGTATTTTCTGGAGAGAGGGTGTACGAGTGAACAGAGCCATCTTTGTCACCACACACCATCAATGCAGGAGCCCCACGAGCTGGGCCATCGGACAGTGGCACCATGCAGGCCGCAGTGACCCATCGGTGTTTGGAAGGAGGCAAGCTCAGTTCCCGTTGGGTCAGGATGGACATCTGCTGGCCCTGTGTCTCTGCAGGGGACGAAGTCTCTACTGTCAGCAAGTGCTGTAAGAAAAGACACACCCTTTTAGTTATAGTTCAGATGCTGCCATTTTTACCTGGCGCTGCAAATGTATCGTAACTACACTCTGTCTGTCCTCACTCCCCCCCCCTCCCCCCGCCCACCCTTCTTTAAGCATCAGCAAATATAAATGTTTCAAGGTCCCACGTCAGGGTCAATCTGGGTTAGTTGGAAACAGCATTCAATAAAAGAGATGTTCCCCTGATGTGCAAATTAGAGTAAAAGACATTCGTTCACAAATGGAAATTTATATTTCACTCAAATATATCAATCTCATGCTTAAAGACTGATTTTTTTTTTTTTAAAGGACTGGTTTGCTAACAAAAAAGAATATTGAAAATGATATGAAAGCACAAAAACTGAAAAAAAATTAACTGAATAAATTAAATGTATTTGCCCAAAATTGTTTGGATAATCAGCTTATTTCTACTAAGCTAGTCGACAATAAAGGTAAATTTACTCACACAGTAGCCCAGAGGTCCCGATATCACCAGACAATCCACATCTATCCATGTTATGCCCAGAACCTTACCAGAAAACACAGTCTTTTCACAACTAACAGTCTCACCAGACTCTGCAGCAGTGGGAAAGATTGAAAGCAAAAAATGTGTTCATATGAATTTTACACCAACAGGATATGTCTGCTCCAATTTATGAAACTGACACAGCATTCACGACAAGGTCAGTAGACAACAATTGAAGAGTATGCAGCCTTCTATCAGTCTTACAAGAATTGTATGCCTCCAAAGTTACCATAGATGGTAGACAATAGTATATCAGATCAAACATCATTGCCTCTTGTTCCAAGTTATCAATAAATGTCTAGAACAAAATTATTGAGCGCACTGAAAAATTCGTAACTGTCTGGGGAATGCCCTCTATTTTACTGATCTATTTTACATTTTTTGGAAATTTTTTTTAGGATCACTGTTTTCAAAATATTGTACTCTAAAAAAGCTTTCTGGAAACTCTTTTCCATCTACATTACAGTCAAAGGCCGACATCTAAATAACAAACATGTGTTTAAGTATCAAAAACTGAGTTTCTCTATATCCACAAGTTCCACATACAAAGCACTACATAAAAACAAAACGAAATTGAGAGAAAAAAAGAAATGAATGTAAGATCCAGCAACAATATAGTGGATAAAAAAACCCAAACAAAAACAAATAAATAAACTCTGAGCAATCACCTAGTACTTTGATAACACACAACTTTCCACTGATACTGCCCACAGCAAGACTCCTGCCATCGGGGCATGGGCTCACCACACTGTACGAGTGGAAGTCTGCACCAGACAATAGCTCGGAAAACTGCTGCTCTGATATGTGGTAACACAAGAGAGACCTGGAATACAATCAAGCACATTTAATTTTTAAGAACAAAAACGGTTAATTACAGAAACTCAATGCACAGATGGTCTTTCAGTATCTGCTAAAGATTCTAGAATCTGATGACACCAGAGTAAAAAAGCACCACTACAATTTATAATTAACCTAGTCATGGACTTAGAAACATCAGGATCTATAAAAACCATTAGCAAATAACATGGCATCAGGTCCAGTAAGTCCAGAAAACGCTCCTGTGTGATCTTTTTTTAGTGTGATGATAAAAATTACAACAAAAAAAGAGGTGTATTTCACTCAGAATTCTATGATATAATCTTGACAAGACTTACCAATGAAACAGAACACTGTTTTTTGTTTATGATAGAACAAGAAAAAAACAGTCTGAATCCAACTCCATAAATAAAAGAAAAAAACAAAAAAGGGTCAATTGAGTCAGTAAGAAGATAAACTTTTCAAAGAAGCAAAATACAAAGACTAGACATGATCAGTCCTTGTCTTTCTGTGGCTCAGAAGCTACATATTCTTGCTGTTTTTATATACCGTAGAACATAGCTATAGCGGGACTTTTAGTTCCAGAAGAAAAATCCTGCTCTTGGCAAGTTCCCGCTATAGGAATGCAAAGGGGAATTACCGAAAAATCACACACTATACACTCTCCTCTTCTTTTAGTCTTTTTGGCCTAGCCTAGGCCTAGGGCTATATGGCACATCACTTTTGGAGTGGCTCACATAACGCATCTCTCCGCATCATCTCTTTCTGCCACCTGTCACACCTCACTCATCACTGGATTGGCTAATCACCACGCCGCTGACTGCCTGTTTGGAGCCCACCTACAGCCCCCCCAACACCCTTCCCCCAGCTAGAGCTCACTTGATCTCTCCTGCTGTATCAAAGTACCGGCCTTTCCTTGCCCTGTTAAACACAAGCACAGGTGAGTTCACATAGACCAAAAAAGGAGATTCCGGAAAGGCCCCGCTGCAGCAGGTGCCACTATAGTCATGTTCTGCTGTACCAGCTGAGTCTCTGCAACATTCTTTGTCTTAGCTGTAGAAAGAACCAACGTACCCAGAGTTCATCATGACCAGTACCATGTTGTAGTTCAACAGTGTGACACTCCTTGGAAAGTCTTCTTGTCCATGACACTGAAACATAGAAAATGGGAACATAGAAAATGGGAACATAGAAAATGGGAACATAGAAAATGGGAACAAAAACTGCATCCAAGAGCATAATACAATCAAACCTGCTCTGACGGCCAGATGCATAACACAATCACCTGTACAAACGTTTACTTCCAATTTCATTGTTTGCATTTTTTTCACATTATAATGACGCTACGTAAGACATCCACCTGTTTAAGATGACGGTTTTTCTCCTCGACATTGAGTGGCTGTCTTAGACAATTTCGACTGTATTTTTAAACAATACAAAAAAGTCTTTACACACAAACTTTACAAAAGCAGTCAGTTTCATCTTGAAAACATTTGAGCAGTGCAACCATCATAGATCTGAGACAAATGTTTTTCCAAGAAAACCTTTTAGTATCCCTAATGGAGAGAACACATGATTCACCGAAAACACAGCCACTTACACGTGCCGCTGATGAGGGTAGTGTCAACACTGTTTGAGACATCTGCTTGTCCCTTCCCTGCTCCAGTGACCACATGCGCACACTGCCATCTCCTCCTCCAGTAAACTGGTAGATTTCAACAAGAAAACAAATAATAATAATAATAATAATAATAATGATATTACTATTAGTATTAAAAATAATAATATAACAATAGTAGTAATAATAATCATAATCATAATGAAAAGTTGCATTAATACAAAAGAACTGAGATTACAATGTAATACAGCCTCCTTTAAGACCCATCTCTACAGAAGCACACAAAATCTTACTATGCCTCATATCCCTGATATTTTTTAAATCTTAATAAGACTCAAAGGTATCCTATGCCTCAAGCAAATATAATCTTGACTTTATTCAAGAAACAGGTACAGGTTCAAACTCAGAGAGCATAAGAGGACTTTATAACGTGATCATCATACTACCTGAAGTATGGATTTGACCAGCAGGGTCACATATGAACACAGCAATACTCAGGCACATTGTGCTACAACTCACACAATGTGCAGCTTCAATTTTTCATCTGCTTCAACATGAAAGAGATTAAACCAGGCCCCAGAGACACACGTACATAATTATAAAAACAAGGCAATTGAAACTTGTGTAGAAAAAAGAGGAAGCAAAAAGGTAGTGGTCACTTTAAAAGAAATTAGTGCATTAATAACAGGACAAGTGTAAAATAATAATGTAAAACTGTACAAATACTCACACTTCAAAGAGAAGAAACTAACCTTATAAAAAAAAAGGCACTGGATATATAAAACAAAATAAACTATTCACTGTTCATTATTAACACATGAAAGAATGAACCATAGGGACTGGGCACTAGTCATTCAGTCTGCAGACACAAAAAAAAATGCACCACTGAAAATCCTCACCAGATTTTTCTCATCTTCTCCGACAGCCAAACTCCATATACTACGACCCTGAAACCGAAAGAGCAGTCAAGAATATAAATTTTATAAAACAAATTAAACAAATTTCTGATAAGTATCCCAGCAAAAGAAAAGATAGTACTTTCCCCTTCACTTCTTCATCTTTTCAAGATAAAACACTTTCATGCATAAGATTGGGAAAAATAAATAGATCTCACAACTTTTGAGTGTAAAGAATGACTCACATCACATACAGCAACATGATTGTATAAGCTCAAAACTCATATCAAAAGCACAAATAAATTATGCCACAAAATGTTAGGATACATAGCCAATCTTTCAGGCAAATTTAATTCTCATGACAACACATTATCACATGTAAAACTTTTTCAACAAGATTCAGTTCCTCTCAGTAACCTTTAGAACCTGTAATAATTATAAACATCCTACAACATCACAGCAAGTAACTCGTTAAAACAAAAAAAGGTTCAAGAAAAACATCATCAGACAGAATTTTGTTTTTGTCGAATAAACACCAACCTGATGTCCTTTGAACTTGGTGATAATGTTTCCATCATAGTCCCACACATTGCAGGTGGCATCCTGAGAACAAACCCACAAAAAAATATTCAAGCTATTCAACCATATTACAGACAAATCTGTAATAATGAAAGAAAAAAGAAAGTGGCAGCTAGTTATGACTTATTCTTTCATATTTAATTAGTTCAAAATGTCCATCAGCAGTCTGGCAGTTGTTTGAAAATGCTGCCCATATGCCTTTTTACATCTTTTCTACCAATCTCTAATGACTTTTTATCCTTCTGGATTTTCCCCAGAACTGGGACAGCAATTATACATTTAGGTATCCCTCTGTAACTCAAACAAAACTGACCACAAGAATGGTTGCGCCACAAAATAAATGTTCTTGCAAAGTATCTTGAAACGGCTATTATTTATGTTCAGTTAAACATTTTGGTCCAGATTTATAACGTTTCTCTCAGTTCACATCATCTTACCTCTCCAACACTAGCAAAGCAGGTGGTCATCAACTCAACATCCCAGACACGAGCCGAGTGGCCAAATAGACACAGAAGGAGGGTACTCTCCATAGTGTTCCAATCAGAAGGCTTCAATGCGGAAAAGTCATTGCACTGAAATGTCAACTTCCACAATCGAATACTGCGATCATCAGACGCTGAGCAAATTTTGCGCAGTTTGGGATGGAAGGAGATAGAGAAAATAACTCCCTGTGAATGAAATAGAAAATATAAATAAAGAGCAAATAAAAGTGAGTAAGTAATAAATAACTTAGCAAATAATAAACAGCAAAGAGTATGGTCTGTAAAAACTCATTGAAATAATCAGCTATGAAAACTTATTTCATGTAGTTATAAATTTTCACTTTTTGGGGAATTTTGGGGAAGATTTCATTGAGTCAATAATTCTTTTAAAGTACAGGTCCACTATAAAGATGCACTACCATGTGGGATTTTGTCATATTTCTTTAATTTACTTTTTTCTTTTTAACAGGGAAAAAGGGGGAGAGATGGTGGCCTGAACTTTCGCCACTAAGGAGAAAAGCAAAACATTCATTCAGCTTTCAACACCAATAATAATAATACTGATAATAACAATAATAATAATGATGATGATGATGATGATGATGATAATAATAATAGTTCATCCATCAATATTTGATGATGACCAATGCATTGAGAATGTTTCTTAACCCCTTCACTGCTGAAAAATTTCCATCAACATCTGTACCGACATGATAAAATGTTAATTCTTGGAATATTTTAACACAGAGAATTGTTTTAGAATAAGCAAAAACCACAAACGGTAACTATACCAACTAAAACTTCTTTTGTCAACCAGATTAAACAATATGAGAATACAAGCCAGAACACACGTCTACTCAGCAGTGAAGAGGTTAAGTGAAACAGATAAAATAAGACAAGGTTTAAGTTGACATGTGACCCTGCTGTGGCCAATGAGACCAATTGAGTCAGAGAAAAATTAGAAACATTATGAGCATTTAAAAGCTTTATTTCTACTCATGGATGTATGCACTTTGCAGACTTTTCTTTTGGCTTCAGCATTACACCAATGTCTATGACACCAAAGACTTTCCTCAGCATTGCACCAAGGGCATAAAATTTATTTTTAAAAATTTATTTCTCCTCAGTCCTCTCAGGGGCAACATACCTTGTGGCCAGAGAGCGTGTGAACAATATCCACAGGCTCATCGAGGTCCTGAGAATTACAATTCCCCACAGGCCACAATACTATTTTATTGAAGACTGTGCCAGCAGCCAGAACCAAATCACTCCAGGAGTCCCCAATAAAGTGAGCACAATATCTGAATGCAGTTAAAAAATGTAAATTTGACTTGTTCTAACATTCATACATTCTTGCACGACCGACTCAAAATCAACAAAAAGATACAAAGGTCTGCATTATACACAGAATGTAGATCTCTGAAAAACATGAATTTACTCAACACAGCTGAAATGATACTAGGACATATTTAAGTCAGTGAGACATGTTTTTTCTTAGAGACACCATAGCCACAACATACTACAAAGGGTACTGACATTCTTATCATTTTAATCACAAAAGAACACAGACCGGATTCCAGTCAGAATTTAGCCCCCCAAAAAAGAGAAAGCAGCACCTCACCCTAATGTCATCACCAGACTCAAATGAGCCCTTACTTTTTCTTCATTTCTCTGCAAAATTTCAAAAGTAATCAAATCTTGGTTCTAATCCATGCTGCAATTGATAACAACATAATTCAACAAGCTGTTGCTTTCCAAAGAGTCAAATGGGCGAGTGTCATTCCAATTCCTAAGACAGCTGGGGGGTTTTTAAGCCTATCTTAAAAATTTTACTGGTAATAATTCCTTCAGTTCAAGGTAAAAATCAATTAAAAACCTTGTCACAGCAGCTTGCCCCAGAAGAAGTACAAATGTCTTCTTCTACTTTCTACTGCCAGAGTTTTTTATGCACGCTCCATGTACACGAGATCTAGAGTATTGTGTTCAAGTGTTTAAGAATACAAGGCTCTCCATCACATCTATCCTTGTATTAGGAGCTTGAAAAAAAAACAACACAGGACCTCATGTGACCCATGGAATGTGCAGCACAAATCTGGAATTGTTCCCTACGCTTAGGCAGATACAATATTTACAATATCTTTTTCAAGAAATGTTCTATTCCAGAGAGAAACAAAGATTTAAAAAAAAAACAACCCCAAAAAACAGGAGTCACAGAAAAGACCACAAAAGGAGTCATGGTGCCATCACTGAAAACAGATTGAAAAACCATTGTTCAAGACTGTAGGAAATAATAAACTTCTAGAGCATGTACACTAATTGAGTTTAGTAGATGCGTACAGTGAAAACAAAATAAAGGATACAGTATACATTTCTCTGTGCAGTGCCTTGTCCTTGACACCTTGTTCTCCTTCCAGTTCCAGTGAACGACAGTATTATGAGCCAATGCTAAGGCAACAGTGCCATACTCATCAGACTCCTGAAAATAAAACCAGGAAATATTTCTTTTTAATATCACACTTTAAATAAGCAAAATATCAAATTTACGTGCAAAGTTTATTGACAAAACCACTATTGTTAAGTTCCCATTCTTCTGCGGCCTTGTATGGTTGGCTAACTGTAAAACTAATTTCAGTAAATCTGAGACTGCACATATTTCGATAATTTGTCAGTGATAAAAAAAAAAAGAGCCCTACTGTTCTTCTATGGGATGAGATAGAAAATGACTCAGAGGTGAGAGGACGATAGGATAATTACTAATATTGACAAATTGGTGTATTCAGAAGAATCAAGCACAAATATATTTGTTGATAGTTGAATAACCTACCAGTCCTCAATCAAAATTTAAGAAACAACTAACAAAACCACCTGCAAATATGGAATAAAATGGATGAAAATGAATAACAGATCAGACTGACCTTGTTTTATTTACCAGATAAGCCCAATTGTATAGGATTGGGTACAAGAAAAAAAAAGAGAGAAAAAGGGCAACATAGGATACTTATGATAGCCACCTGTACTTATAAAATAAGAGCATAACTAACCCTTTCACTCTTGTCTTGATCACATAGCCACCTAGCATCCCATATCCAGTCCTCGGCATGAAAGACATCAGATACAAGATTGATGTCACTTTTCTTATCCTCACTATCACAGTTTGAAAGGGTAACTATGCGAGCATGTTTAGCTCCAAAAACACATAGACTATGCTCATTTCCATATGACAAGCCTGAAACCAAAAAAAAAAAATGTTAAACGACAATATACAAATATAAAAATCAGACTTACACTAAATCTTATCAAGTTCAATAAGTGTAGTCACATTACTTTTTACCCCACAAATAAAACATTATTTAAAGCTAAAGAACAAAATTAGGTATCATCCTTGGGAGAAATGAACTACTGGGTGAATATTAAGGTTGTCACTGTGCGATGTGAACAATCTGTTTTGAGCATTTTACAAAACAAAACAAAAACCCAAATTTACTTACCTTATTCTCTCTAAAAAAAGATTTTTACGTATCCAGAGATGCAGTACATTTACAAGTACCTCTATAGAAGTATGAGAATTTTGTATAAAACTGAGTATCCATGTAAATCATACAGGGAAAATTAAATTGCTGTTCAATACATTTTCCAATAACACTGTTTGTACAAAGGTACAAATTCCGAGAGAATAGGCAACCCAGTAACTGTTCATCAGCAGGAAAAAGATAGAAAAAGATAACAGTTTCAACATAATCTTCTTCTTCTCCTCCTTCTTCTCCTTCTTCTCCATCACGTCACACTTGAAGTCCAGTATTTGTTATATATATTGGGCCATCCTGCTCCGTTCATCTGTCGGCCCGTATAGCTTCTCCTGTAGTGTCAGTGGGGATGGCCATGTTTCCTGTTTCAGGGCCCTGTGTGTCTTGCAGTGCAGAAGGATGTGTTCCACTGTTTGGTCCGCCTCTCCACACTGGCATTTTGGTGATTGTACTAATTTAAAACATCTGTACATTATATTTTGTCTCAGTCTTGTGCAACACAATAAATTACAAAAAGAAATACATAGCAGTAGAAGTATTACTTCCCCATTAACACAATTTAGATCATCTATGAAGCAAACTTTGACTCTGCCTGTCAGGGCCAACCCGAGCTACAAGGGATATAATTTCAGCAGACAAAGGGAGATACAACATGTAGATCTAATTCATTCTAAAAAAACCTCTTTACACAGGAATCAAACTCACTTTTTTGTGTGTCCCAGAGATATTTATGAATTACCTTAAGGCTACATCATAGATGCTGCTAATTCAAAGCATCTAGAAATACAATAGATTAAATTAATCTCCTCAGTATACTATAAATTCCTAATGCTCACCATTTGTTCTTGACTCACCTGCTCTAAGACCATGAACAGAAGAGCCTACAAATATCTGTTGAGTGTTTTCATATTTTTCAGAAGCCAAGTTGAAAATGGTGATCTCGGAGCCGCATCCTGTGGAGGATAAAAACAAAAATTTTTCACACATGACGTAAGCATGACCTAAAGACTACTTTTTTCATCATACCCTTAAAAAAAATACTATTCAAGCCTGAGAAAATTCAAATGAAATCATGGTTCAAGAAAAATAAAATCAGTGTCAGAAAAAATATGATCAGAATGTATTCAGTATCTCAAGGTATACAGTTGAACCTGCCTTAACGGAAACCTGTATAACGAAAACCTGTCTTTAAGGAATCTCCCCGCTTCCCCCTTCATACATAATATATATATTCCTCTGTTTAATTACCTCTGTATAAAACGGAAACCTGTCCAACGTAGAAACGATTTATAAGAAAAAATTTGCAAGTTTGGTTCCGCCGACATTAAACTTAATGCCATGGCCATGCCGCTGGGCGAGGAAGGGGAGTAGGGGTGCAATTTGGGGGTAGATGTTACCCCATCATGTGAGCCTTGAGTGATGAAGATTGTCAGGATGGTGTGGGTGTGAAATCTCACCAGTGCCAGTGAAAGTACTCCAGTAGCGAGCCACTACGGAAACTTTCCTGAGTAGCCAGAAACCAGAGAGGTGTGAAATTAAATTGACCAATGCCTGCCGCCCTGATTGAACGGCCAGCCAAGAAAAGAGTTCCTTAAATCGTTGTTACATGGCAGTGAGGGGTGGCATTGGTTGACTGAGCTTGTGATTGTAATTGTTTCACCGGTGGGTAGAGCTAAGGGTGGAAGCAAAGGAGATGTTCAAACATTTCTGTTTTTAATAGGACAAACAGTGGTCCTATGAAAGGCAAGCACTGGTGGTAATAAGTAAGACTGATGCATATCATTATCAGACAGGATAGCAGTTGAGAGGTGAAGTTTTGACCACTGCCATTGCTTGCCGACAGGACCCTTGATAACACCAGCTGGGCCTTTGAAACCCCCTTCCATCTCCCCCTAAATTCCTCTGCCTAAGACGGAAAATATCTACTAAGACGGAATTTTTTTCTAGCTCCTTTGCGATTCCGTCTTGTAGTTTGACTGTATTCAGTAAAAAAGAAAGCTTGATTGGAGCCTCCTTAGTTGAAGATCTACCTTGCCATGGTCGCCTAAGTTGTAAGTTCCACAATTTCGGAAGTCTAGAGTAGCATGTACGTCCTTTTGATAGCACAGGGAGAAGACCAAAGGTGGTGGTGTTACACATTTGAATTGTGACTGTGTGTGGAGGGGTGGATTGCTTTATTTTGCAGTGTCATTTGGACTAAAGAATTTTGTAACAGTAAACGTTATGATGCACAAAAGTAATTCGCAAAAGCAAGTGACCAGACTCAGAGAGACTGGCCAGACTAGATTCTAGATCTAATCTAGATCTAGATCTTTTTAAAAAATAATAAAACATCAGTTTTTTTGTTGTTGTTTTTGGTTTGTTTGTTGTTGTTGTTGGGTTTTTTTTTGGGGGGGGGGCAACGCCTACAAGCCAAGCAATTCATGCAACTTCAACTTTAGGAGCCTTAACTTTAATCATCAACCAGGTGGAGCCATAGGAAACAAAACACTTTTCATATACCATACTGATGCCGACCAGCTGGAGTTCTGAGAGGGGGGGCTCAATTCAATAACTTGCCTGAGGCTCGAGTCTTCAAAATTCAAAGTTAAAAGTTAATCAATAAAATTAACCTAGAGAATCTAGACTAGATTTACCTATTATGAGTTTGTTTGCACATGCTGTAAGACTAGTGACTGGTCCTACAAAACATTCGAGCTGAATGTCCATTTTTTAGTTCTTTGTCTTTGTTTTGGTTTCGTAGTAGCCTACATTGCAACTGCTACTGCCCCATGCTTTCCATGATCTGCCTCAAGACAGTCACAATGAGAAAACGAAAGTGCAAACGGAACCGGAATAAGTACACCTCTTCCAACTTCAAGAGATTCCTTGCTCGCTTTCGCCGATTAAGAAAATATATAATTATGTAATTGCAACAAAATAAATTTATTTTTTCTTTCCCATGGATCACTAAACGCATGGAAGCAATTTAAATCACTCACAAATGAAAGAAACCTTTAACAGTTTTCGAAGCTTGCACCCACAGCTGTATTTGTTATTTTTGTTGTTCCAGAGTGTAGGCTTACATGATATAGGCCTTCGGTTGCGCGTGTTTGGAGGATGCTCGACTGAAGCTGTTGAGGTCTGGTTTGCTCCTTCTTTCCTATCAAACATCTTTTGTCCTTATCTCTTGTCCTTCGTTTCTTTATATGCTACTTAATTTCTAGTAACATATCTAATCTTCGGCACTCATGTCACCTTATTTCTGTTGCAAGTGCTGAAAAACTCTTACTGCATCGTCGCTGGTCCCCAGACGCAAGCATTTCAGCCTCAAAGTAAAATCATGTGTCTTCGTGTATAATTTACGTCTCCGCCGTCTTGAATCTTCAGTGTCAGTGTGTTGTGTTGCCTGGGCCTAACATTTCCAACAACAACAACAACAATCGCCGATACTTACCAGGGCTCAAGCATAATAATAGTGCTTTTTTGCTTTTGTAAGTGTTTTACGGCGCTCGCAACTGCATAAGGTCATATGAGCGCGCGGGACACATTAAACTTTTTCAGTTGGTAGGAAATTTTGAATTTTGCCCAGGTGGCGGCCGAAGCCTACTCTTATCGATTTTATACCACCAAGGGATCTTTAACGTGCGCAACTTGCACACGGGCCCTCCGAGATTTTTCGCCCTTGTCCGAGAAGGCAAGGTGTAGATCTTTCCAACCAGAAGATCAGGGGTGTGGCTGAAAGAATAATAATGTGAAATCCCTCACGTGCAAAGGAAATCAACTGTTTTATGCGGATCTAATTTGACTTTGGGGGAAGGAGGGGGGGGGGGGGGGGGGGG